CAAAGTATAAAAGGTAAACCTAAAGACCATGGAAAACTTTAAAAAGAAACTCAATTATCATTGAAACAATTAACTAATCATCTGCCATCAAAAGTTTCGTCGCAACAAACATATTGATTTTCCTTGTTGTAGTACATAAAATCAATACTATTACAATAATAATATCATTTTCATCACAATTGATTAAACTTTAATTGTGATGGAAATTGTTTACTTTTCTTGTTGATTGTTATTAACTTTTTCTCGCCTATTTGTAAGTTACACTTACAGTTTATACAGTAATTTAAATTGATAATTTAAAGCCTAATAAACAGTTAATTTAATGATGTAATAAATAATTTTCCGGGTTCAATTGAATTGTTTTTCTTACTTATCAATTAACATCAATGGTAATCATATGTTTCATCATTTTAATGGTGATTTTCATTGTTTTATTTATCATTTTCCCTCCTTTTTTCACCTCACTTCTTATATTTATCATGACAGTTAACTGGCAATTTCAAGTTGTATTATGTATATTATATTATACACCAATTGTTACTCTTGTTAAATTGTATATTATAAATAAAATTGAACATATTCAGCAGAAAAAATATAATAATAATGATAATAACAATAATATATAGCACTTTTCACCATTGGATATGTATGAATAAAAAAAAGTTCAGTCTCAACTGTCTAACTTACCTGAATAATAATCACCGGTAACATGTAATATATGAAATGGTTATGGCTGTGAATTCATATTGACTGTTTATCTGATGATTGACGATGCTTTTTATTTCTCATCTTTATCTTCATCATCATCATCATTTTACATTTTCTCCTCTTTCATCTCCAAGGTGAGAAAAAAAAGTGAAGTCTTTAGAAAAAAAAAGAAAAGGAGAGAAAAGAAAAGATTTATTCTTTTCCATCATCATCATCTTTTCCATCCATCAGTATGCACTCATTGTTATCCACCACCAACACCACCACCTCATCTTCCTCCTCCTCCTCTTCATCCTCCTACTTTTTTACTCACACACACAGGTAAATGTAGGTGAGAGCATGAGATGTATGTATGTATTATTATATGGAAACTGATGATTACCTGGAAAGATTATAAAATGAATTATATGGTAAATTAAATGAACCCATTGTTATACTCACTTTTCTCATCATTTTCTTATCTCCATCCTCATCCTTTACATGTTTTTTATTACCTTTACCCTTGGGGCTTAATATGATTTTCTTGTTAAATTACTTTACACAATATTGTAAACATATACTACTACTACTATGTGGATGTTAAATTGAATGTTTAACAAATTGTAAAAAATTGTTTCTCTTTTCAAAATTAAATCTCAATTGTAATTCAATTGTAATTTTCTGTTTATGATACTCTTCATATCATCCAATGGTTACTATTACATTGTAGATTATTATTATCATTGGTAACAATCAATTTCTTTTGGTGAATCACAATTGATTAGATTTCAATTGTAATCTAATATTGGCAATCTCTTTTCACCAATAGTTTCCTTGTTTCTTTTACCATCAAATCATATGTTTACTTTTCTTGTTGATTGTTGATAAGTTCGTGTACATTATCAACATTGTTGATTGTTGTTGATACTTTTCTTGATTGAGATTGAAGTAAATCAATGGACAAATTGATATGGTGATTATCATTACACAATTCTGATTGTTTCATCATCTTAATAAGAGATGAATAAGTTTTCAGTTTGAAAAATATTGATGATAATGATTAATGATTTTCACTCAATTATCCATGATTAGTGACAATTAATCAATTACTCTCTCTCTCTCTCTCTCTCTCTATTGTATTGTTTTAATTTAATCAAATTTAACGGTTCTTTTTGTTTGGTTTGTGACAATTACTCATTATTATTATATCATTTCAAACGGAAACTCATGAGGAGACATAAAAAAAGTTCATTGAGAACATTATTTCTTCCGGTTCTTCCAGTTAATTCATTTATTATCATCAATGGTGTTTCTCATGATAATGTTTCTTCATCTTCATTGAAGATGATGATTATCATGATGATTTCCTCTTCTGTCTATCTGATACTTTAGTTGTTCATATTATCAGCATGTATCAACATGTCAACAGAGATTTAAAATGATGATGATGATGATAACTTTAATTGTCTTCTTAAATTATCCTCCATCTTAATCACAATCAATATTGTCCAGAAAAAATATTCCTATTGAAACTTAATTGCAACCAAAGCAATTTGTTAATCTGCTTTCTGTTAATTTGTCATTCTCATGCGATAATGATAATTTATTTATCACAATTAAATTGAACAATTAATACTACTCAGTGTTAAATTGTCAACCTTAATTTAATTCAATTTGATCATTTTTTTCCCTATTCTTTATTATAACAAAATGATCTTACTCTCTAATGGTTAACTGTTAATTTGATTGTTTAATTGTTTAGTATTTACAATTGAAAGTGACACTGGTTGATAATGAAGACTAATGATTATCATGTTAGCTAATTGTTAATTGTGTTTGTTTTATTATAATTCCTTCAAAGTTCATTAATTTCAATTTAATTATAATTTAATTTAATTCAATTGACTCTTGTTTCCTTATTGTTATTATAATATTATTACTAGTTGATAATTAAGTGGTTTAAATAAACAATCAGGTTGAGAAAAAAGGAGCAAAATTAAACTTTAAAACTGATTAACAATTAAAAATTTGACTGATGATCAGGGAAAAGTTATCGAAGTACAATTAAGTTAATGATTAATTAGATGACTAACTATCTGTTCAATTCTTGATTCTCATCTTCTTCTTAGTATCTAATTGAGCTTAGAAAACTTGTCAATGATGCCAAGTTAATGAAGATAATAAATCAGTGTACCAACAATTAGCATGAGAAAAGTAAATTGTAATCATGATGATGGTGAAAATAATGTTTTGATTAAAGAGAAAAGGAAACAATTAATATAATAAAAGAGATTGAATTAAAAAGTTTGATGATATTAACCAAAGAGATGGAGATGAAGATGAAGATGAGGATGAGGATGATAAGCTTGATGATGAACATCATCCACGTTTAGTAAATAAACATTGACTCAAACACTTAACTTGATTTGAGCTCTTTGACTCGTATTCATCTTTGTATCATCCTCATCATTTGATTATGACTTTGGTGAATGAAGAAGATAGAAAGAGAAAGTAAATCCAGAGAGAGAGAGAGAGAGATGTCCCAAGATGCTGGTTAAATCTCCCATAAAATATTTCTCATCCTCCCTCAGCATCATCATCATCTTTTTCTTCCTCCTCTTCATTTTCTCATTCTTTTGCCTGTTCATTTTTTCTTCTTCTTCTTTGCAATATTATCATGAGAAGACATATTTCATCATGACCTGATGGTTTACTCACTTTATTTTTATCTTCATCTCCTCCCTTTTCATATAATCATCATCTTGATCCATTCAGAATTGGTTATCCCATTATAATGACAAATTACAGTGATTACCGGAGACTGGATAACATCGCCTTTTATTATCACTTTTTCACTCTCTTTCTCTCATCCTCATCGAACACACTCAACATGTTCATCATCCTCATCATCTCATCAACTTCATCTCTATCTCTATCCCTTGTTCTTGGCTATTATCATCCTTCATCCTTCTGGTCATCATCAACCAATCAACCTGAAAATCTTATCCTCTCTCTCTCTCTCTCTCTCTCTCTAGATGACTTGTTAAACTTTCCTTCATCATAATCATCTTAAACTAGTAAAAGTTGATGATGATAATGATGATATCCCTCCTCCGCATCCTCCTCCCTGGTTAAATCACTATTATCATCCCATTAAACTTTATCCTCATCATCAGATGAACAAACCTTGTAACATAAAATTTTGACAAGCATCATTTTTATTGATAAACCTTTTTTTTATTTCATCATTTACTTGATTTAAATTGAGGTAAACACAATCAAAATCAGATTCTTGACTTTTTACCATCAGCATCATCATCATCATTTGCCTTTCCTTTTATAATCATGAATGTAAAATGATTGTTGTTGAATATGATTACTTATTTTTTTTATATTCAACAATCATCATCATAATGATGTGACTGTTTTCAATGGGTTTTACTTGTAATTCACTGATGATGATAAATAAAAAAAAGAGGAGCCAAGAGATGATGAAAATGATAAAAGTAATCACTGGCAACAGAATAGGGAGTAAATTAAATGAAGTAAAAGTTTGTAAATAATGAAAGTGATGAGGATAAGAAAGGATTAGTTATAAGGATGAAAGAGGAAGATGATGAGGATAAATTTGGCACCTAAGATGAGAAAGACTGATGAGAGAGGGAGAAGATGATAAAATTGATGAAGCTCAATTAATTTTGTGTAACTTGTCCAAAAGACTTTTTTAACCTCATTTTTTATCTTCTTCTTCCTCCTTCTCATCATCACTCATCTTCATATTGAAGAGAGAGAGAGAGAGAGAGAGAGAGAGAGATGATAAACCGAACTTTTTTGCTCAATTAATCGATTTTCCGATTTTCATCAATCAATTTTGTTTTTCTCTGTGACAGAAAAAAATAAATGTCAATCTATTGTTGTTGTAATAATTTCAATCGACTTGAATTCACTTCAATCAATTTATTTTCTTGTCTTAATTAATCATTCATATTTCTTTTTGTTTTCGATTGTAAGATTGATTGTGATTAATTTATTATATTTTGATGATTAGAATTGATTTGAATCATTTAGTTGTTGATTTTTATTCTGGGAAGAGAGAAGAAAGTTTCTTTTGAATCTCATTGATTCTAGAAGGTGAGATTAATTGTTATTTGTTAATAATAATCCAAGTTGATAACTAATATTAACAAAAATATACAGTTAATTGTTGAACTTAATTGTGTGTGTTTGTATTTGTTTGTATTTTTTGAGAGTTTTTGTTTGTTAGCAAAAATGATTAAATAAATAATCAAATAATTGACAGGTAATTTAACAGGTAAATTAGCTTATATTTTTTACCGCCTTCCCTTTTTAATAGTAAAGCTTTGAAACATATCAATTACTATCAATTTATCATAATGTAATTTAAAGTTGATCTTAATATTTGTTTCTCTTAATTGTCTTAATTTCTTGCATTAATTTACATTATATATTTGGTTGAGAAGGTGGTGATTGTAGCAGTGGCTTAGTTGGTGATCAGTGGATTGTGCTGATGATTAAACCTTTTCCCTTAATTTGATAATCACCAGAATTTCAAATACATTTAAGCTTTAATTGTTTCTCAAGGCAGTATGGGTGGACCAAGGCGTCCGGTATATGGTCCATAAGGGGGATAATGCATATTTAATTGGGATCCAGGGGGTGGTTTGTGCATCGGTCCAGTTAAACCATTAGTTAAGGTGCTCAATGGAGATCCATTGTTGGTTAAAGATTTGTACGGATGATAACGATTAACTGGATCGAAAGCAGTTCGCCTTAAACCAGCAATTGGACTGGTTAACATGGGATCAAGATGCGGATATTGACCGAGAAAGGCAAGCGCTGAAACGGAGGTTGGATCAGAGGAGGTGTGATTGCGAAGGTGTTGATGTAACTCTTCTGAAGAGGTAAACCTTTTACCACAATAGGTATTACCTATCATCCAACTGCAAATATTGGGTTTACCGTTAGCATTTGAAGCAGCGGCGGCAGCAGCAGCGGCTGATGTTGCATGTGGTGAATTGGCTGATGATGTAGGTGGATTTCCAGGGTGATGATGTTGATGGTGTTGGTGTTGTTGATGTTGATGATGGGGAGGAGGTGGGTAGAATGCATTACCAGGTAAGTAGCCGTTTGCTTGAAGAGCGGCTATTTGATGGCTCATTGATGTTGTCATTTGAGATGTAACATGTGAACATTGGGTACATCCGGCTGGACAAGCTGATACCTGATGATGACCTAACACATTGGCGGCTGCATTAAACCGACATCCAGCACAAAAAGGGTCTCGGCACATACTTGGCGAATGACAGTGTCCAGCAACTGCGGCAGCAACAGCGGCCACTGAAGCTGGATCATAACCAGTTGGCGGTGGTGGTGGAAGGCCAAGATATGGTGAGAGCGAAGGGTATGGTACATATTTCGAGACATTATCTACAGTTAATGAGTGCGGTGTCGATGATTGTTGATGGGGAGGTAAACAACCATTGCAATTGGAGCCTTTTGATGGCGATGAACGATTAACATGAGCAGTTGAAGTTGAAGTTGTATTTGAAGATGTACAGTTTGTAGATGATGTCGATGATGTGGTTGATGATGATGAAGAGGATGGTGAAATGATATTAGACACATTTGATGAAGATGAACTTTTTACATTCTCCCGTTTGTTTAAACAATTTGATTCATAGGTTTTAGAAACACTTTCACTATTATTATTATTATTGATATAATGTTTACTATTATTATTATTATGTACTCGATTTTTGTTATCACTATCGTGTACCGATGATGTTGAGCGGATTCTTGTTTCATCAGGACACTTTTTTTTACTGATAATATGATCTTCATATGGCTTAAATGAGCATCCATTTGACTCACTATTACTAATGGTTGTTACATTATTCCCAATGTAACTGCCAGTAGATGAAGATGATGAATGATTTGATGCTGTAGAAACGTTAATATTAACATTGTGTACTGAATTATTATTACTATTGATGGTGTTGTTGTTGTTGGTGGTGGTGGTGTTTGATCCGGTCACTGAATTGGCACTGGTTCGACTTGTTGGTGTAACAGGGGTTGCATTTCGCAAAGGTGATACAGATAAACGACAAGAATCATTGTTTTTACGTGAAGAAGATTCAATTGAAGAAGATGAAGAAGAAGATAGGGATGATGAAGATGAGGATGAATTATTTGACGATTTAACATGGTCAATAGACGATTTGGCCAATTTACTTGTAGTTGTATCCACACCAATGTTTCGACAAGTTTCTGCTAAAAGTGCCAAAGGACTTTTACCTTCGTCATACTAAATGAAAGGGAATATTGGAAAGTAACAAAAGAAAAGCAATAAATTTAAAAAAAATGTCACACATTTAGAGTAATTGATTTGAAAGTAATAAAATTTAGATCTACACAATAAAAGAGGCCAATTTGGCACTAATCTTAATTTATATAACTATTAAATTTGAGCTTAATTTTAACATTCTAACTCGAACAATTTAATCACCTAGTCAATTTTTTGATTGTCTGTCATGATAGATAAATCAAAATAATATAATAAAGTGAAGGAAAAAAAAGAGGAAAAAGCAAATTGAAGAAAATGGCAAAGGTAAAAACAGTCAGAATGAACAAAGAGAAGAGAAAATTATCAACTCACCCGAAATTCGGATTGAACGAAATTGGTTGTTGATGACATGTATCCAAAATGACTAATATAATAATTCACTAAATGGTTTTAAATATAAATTAAGAATCCAGAATTTTGTAAAATCCCAAAAAGAAGAGCCAAAAAATTGTGAATGATAGAAGCGAAAATGAAATACAAGAGGAGAGAGAGAGAGACCAGAGGAAGTTTGAATATGGAAAAAACAAAATGAAGAATAGAATTTCCAATAAGTGTTGATTTAGAAAAGAAGAGAAATTAAATTAAAACATAATTTAGGTATCACATTGATGATTAAAAGATTTTGGTGGCGACGAGAAAATAAAAACACTTTCTGTTAGAAGAGATGAAGAGAATAGAAGAAAAAAAAATTCTATTCTCATCAGAATGTGAGAAGAGAATAAAAATGATTTTATAAACCCAAAGAGATTAAAGAGAAAAAGAGAAAAAGAGAGAGAGAGAATAGTTTGAATATAGAAAATTAGTGTGAGTGAGAAAGAGAGACACACAATTAAAAAACACTCAGAACATAATGTGAGATGTAATTAAAATAACAAGAATAAAAAAGATCAAAAAAACGATCCAAACAACAATAGAGGTGACAAAATTTCCTTTCCTTAACCAGATCTCGACAATGACTAACAATCAACTGAATTAGTTTCTCTCAATAAGGTTAACCTTTTTCTCTCTCTTTCTCTCTCTTGGTCGATCTTTTCTTCTATTCTTCTGCTGCCATCTAGCGACTTAGAATGTAACCCAAATCAGGTGATTTCGTTTTGAGAAGAACATACAAATTCCCAATGTTTTGATTTCTATTTTTATCAAATTACATTTTCTTAATTGTTTTTAACTTGGTTTTCCACTTTCTACATAATTAGTTAATTGTTTTCTCTTCTCCTTAATTTACTTGTCATTATCAAGTGAAAGATAAACACGTTGAGTATCTATTTCAAGTCTAATTTTGTGTTCTTTTGGTTTTAATATTTTTCTCTACAAAATCAGAGAGCCTAAAGATAATTTTACCACAATTAACTAATTGTTTATTGTTTGTTTTCGTTTTCTTGTTACAGATTAACTTGTCCATTTTGTTAAATTGTTTGGCCATTGGTGATCTATGAAAGAAATTCGATTATCTCTATCAACAAATTTTCGTTACAATTTCTAATTATTTCCTTAATTTTGGTCCAGGTGACTTTTGTTTTTCTACTTGATTTTATATAAGATTAACGGATAATCAATACTAATTGTCATGGAAAACTAATCATCAGTTCCTGTTGAAATTCTGATTGATTGTTGGTTTAACTCGTAATCTAAATTTTTGAAGATTATCTCAATATCTTCCAATTCGATCAATTTATCCAGTTCATTATCCATGGATAAAAGTCACTTGGAGATTTATATTCACCTCAATCATTAGGTTTTCGGCTCGATCATCACAACTTATCAATTAGAATTCTGATGACTTAAAATTTCAAATCTTTGCGCTACTTAAAAGAAAGAGAAATAATTTCCCTCTTATCGTTTGTGCTTCTTTTTGTCTTTCTTCTTGAGAAGATTCTTAATCATCGTTCTGTCCTGAAGAGTTTAATTACAATGTGACCAAATGATAATTGTTACAAATTCTCAATCTGAATATTCCTCGTGTTCAATAATCCATTGGATTAGCGTTTGTCTTCTAGTCTATTCAAAAATACTTTGGTATAGTTTTCTTATTGTATTATCAACCAATTAATCACCGTAATAATTGATAACTTGGAGAGATCAATCAATGGAATTGTAGTCAAGCCAATTATTATCAGAGATTTTCTTGATGAGAAATCAGCTAACAAGCAATTAAACTATTATTATCTCTGTTTGACTTAATCTTTTTGATTAAATGTTACTTTTTTCCTGGTTTATTGGAACTCTAACCCATTTGATAAACAATAACTCGTGAATGACATGGCTTTCAAAACCAATTTAGATACATGGTATTGGAATCCGAACATCATTTCTCAAGAAAGTAAGTCTTTAAATCCATAATTAATTCGATTAAAATTAATTTTCTCTTCTAATTACTCTTACAGATAATCCATGTTTACATGATGAAAATTATGCTCTGATTGTACTTAATCATGGATTAGATGATCTTAATACGAAGCAAGTTAACCATTTTGATCGTTTATGGAATTCAGGTAAATTGTTTACAGATTATTTCTCTGATTAACTCAATTGAAACGTAACTAAATCAATTACCTCGATCTAATGGATCTTATTGTTTCATTTAGCTAAATTTAGACTATCAGTTGACGGTGGAACCAATAATCTAATTGATCTTGGCGATTCTTATATTCCTGATTGTATTTCTGGTGATTTTGATTCAATTAAAGAATCAACTTTAAACCATTTCAAAAAATTGGTAAGTACGATTGTTAAAAACTTCAATAATCGTCTAATATAATAAACAATTAAGTTTAGAATCAGTTAGTTATGATTATGGAAACGATAATAAAACAAAATAAATGACCTTCTCCATAGACCATAAATTCAGAGATTGGTTAAGTTAATTACTATTATTTTATTGTTTTACGTAAAAACCTAATAGCTATAACAATGAACAATTTAACTTATCGTTATACGTGGTGATCACTAAAAAACCGGACCAAACTCATCTAGCCCTTTGTTAATAGTTGCGAGTTGAATTAGTGATAAACGTTAATTGTTTTATGATTATTTCAAGTTTTATAATTCTCATAGTGATTGTTTCAAATTGAACATTAGTTTATGATGAATTAATCATCAAATTAGTTTTATAAATCGATTGTAATTTACACTAATTGTTTGTTTGTTTTTTTGTTTTCTTTCAGAAAGTTGAGATAATCAAGACAATTGATCAAGATCATATCGATTTTATGAAATCCTTATTTATTTTGAGTGAGAAAATCAATTCCAAGATATTAAAGATTGATTATATTATCGTTATTTGGCAAATCACCCATCGTATTGATCAAACATTTGCAAATATCAGTGCTCTTTATAAATGGTATCGAATGGTCAACCAATGTCCAATTTTCCTTCTCGATATCAAAGGTTCACTTTCATGGTTACTACCAAAAGTAAGTATTGATCTAAATTAACTCAATTAAAGGCTAATTTTTTTCTTTTATTTCTTCTCCAGGGTAATCATGAAATAATCAGCAACAAAGTTTCCAATTGGTGTTCATTGGTTCCGTTTGCTGGAGACACAAGAATATCATCAAGTGGATTAATGTATAATATGGATAAACTAATCCTCTCATTCAACGTCATCCTAAGTACATCAAATAAATTGGATAAGTCAATGGACAAAGTGACCTTACAGGTTGACGATAAACCAGTCTTATGGTCTCAAGAATTACTTGTTTAAACACTTATTTATCATCACAATTATTGTTAAATCAAAAACTTATTATTATTATTATGTAATAATTGTTAATTATTCACATTTTACTCTGTTAGTAGTTTACGTGGCTTGTTTGATAACTATTACTATTATTTACTATTATTTTTTTTTTCTGTGAAAAAAATTATGACAATTTCAGGGTTAATTTAATCAAGTAAATTAAGAGGAAAGATTAATCATGTTTACATTATGTATCATGGAATTTGATATTCTCTTGTTGAGAAAAGAATTGAGTAAATAAGAACGAAACAAAATCAATTGATAATAATAATTTTAATCATAAATAGATTTCTGTGAATGATTGCATTGATTTAGTTATATTCATCAACTGAACTTGATGCTAAGTCATTTGTTTGTAACTCTCGATGTTTATTATAAATGAGATGAAACATTAAAATGAATTTAAAATTAAATCAATGACTTTGCGATTTTCCGATTTCACCACTAAGGTACCTTTACTTTAAGCTTGTATTTTGTTTATAATGTGAGAGAGTCTGTGTATGTGTGTAGTTGAAGTAAAGTTAAAGTAAAGGGAAAAGTCTAAATCAGTTGATTGTTTGGGTTAATTGTGGTTGGAAAAATAAACAGTCTAAACAAGGTTACATAGGTTTTAGTCTCTTTTTTTTTCGACACTTTTCTTTCCTTTGTCGAGATAAATCTTGTTATTCGTCCATTTGGTTAGTCTATCCAATTGTCCTTCTCGATAATCAGAAAAACGAAATGAATTTTTCATTTTTTTTTTCTTCTCTTTTTCTCTTCTTGTATTTTTACTCCCCCTTAATTGTATCATTTGTACAGATCACATTTCAGGTAAGATGTAGGAACAAAACCTTCTTCTTGATCATTGATACGACGAACTCGTGTCCAGCCATCGCCTTGGTCAAGTTCAACAACTTCAAATATTTCACCTTCGCCCATAGGTATGGATCCTTCACTTTGAGCTAAGATAGAATGAGAAAAAAAAAGAAATAATCTCTATTAAAATCTTTCATCATCATAAGTAGTAAGACTTTTCATTCTGTTTATCATCTATCATCCTTGAACATATTTATTTGCTCTTTTCCACCCGAAAAGTAACCATATAAATCTGACAACGTGGCCTCTTTTCTCTCTCTCTCTCACCTTCAAAACCATAGAGAGCTTGAGCTCTGCCGATAGGTGGAAGTAAAGCAGGTTCAAAGTCATCATCTTCATCGATAAACTCGGCTGCAGGGTAATTATAGCTGTTTCCATCAATTTCTTCATTGGGTCTGAAAGAATTTATCAAAAGAGGGAGAAAGAGAGAGAGAGAGAAAGATATTATTAGTGAGTTGAAATTTGAGTCAAGTTAATGAAAATCAGGAATCATCAACATAATATGTACCTCATTCTGAGGTAATAATGAATTTGATGTTGAAATTTGATAAAAACAAAGTTAAATGTTGACATTTTTTCATTTTGAAGTTTTTATCTTATTACAAATTTTTGATTTGATTTGATAACCAAATGAACATAAATTCTTACCCATTAGAGGAAACAGTCTCATCATATTGAGCAATGTTATGGTCATTATTACCACTATCGGTTGTGTCATTTTTATCCGACAATGAGCTGTCAATGGCTTCGTAAGTGTCAATATGATTTGTGGCATCTTTATTATTTGAGTTATGATTATTGTAATGTGTAGGTGTTGATGAAGGTGCTGCTGAAGTTAAACCATTGTCTCGAGTTATTTCCATGTTATTAAGAGTTGAGTTAATTGAAGATGTATTTAAATTTGAATTTGAATCATTCATTGAATTATGATTATCGTGTATGGGTGAAATTTCCTGTTTCTGACTAACACTTGAATCAGATGCGCTCCTTGACAATGAGTCTTCCGATATACTACTCGCTTTAGGTTTACGTACATTGGAGGGAGACCTTTCAGCCATACGACTGGTTCCATTTTGATTAAATTCACTTAAATAACCTTCAAATTTTCTTAATTCATTTTGTAGTTTATCCATTTTTTGACTACTCTCGGAAAGCTTATCCTCCAATGTGGTAGCATCACCGAAATTGTGATTCTGTTCATAAACATGTTTCATCTTCATCAGTCCATCCCTAAAGGGTAACACAGTTAGAGAATAGAAAAACAAAAAAAAAGAATGAAAAAGATAAATTAGTGAATAATGATAATGATTATTATTATTATTAATGATCACCGATAATTATAATGATTAATTTCGTGTGATTAGTTGGATAAATTTTCGTCTGATAATCATCAAGTTTCAATGGAAAAAAAAAATTCAACACAAGATGATAACAGTTAAAATAAAACCGTTAATGAGGATAACAACAATAACCATATAATCAAGTTATATAACCAATCCTATTGAATGATAATCACATGTTGTTAGTTAATTGTTGATGGTCGTTAAAACAATTTCATATCATTTACAAATCATTCAATTGGTTTCAATTCCATATACAGAGTTGTACGATGTAGCTATTTATCAATGGTGGGAGGAGGTTAAAGATTTACGTTTCCATAATTACTGTTAATTAAAAGTAACTCTCTTCCAATGAATATACTTTTTGACAATCACAATGATGATCAAAAGTGATCACCTTTGTGTCAATTACGCACCAAGGATATTAATCATAACTCCTCTGTTTTCACTGAACACTCTGTAATCAAGGATGAAATAATTAGGATCAAATTTAATTCACTCAAAAGTATCATCATCATCATCACAGAAATTGGGAGTTGTTCAATTAAAAAGAGGTATCTTTTAAATGGGGCCAATCAATGGGGCCAATAGCAATCAAAATCAAATAAGATAACAAGTCAACATCATTTTGTTTTTTTTTTGCTTGTTTCATAATCATTATCATCGTCATCATCATCACCATTTGATCATGATAAAAACAAAATAACTGTAATCATAATAATATGAATAAGAAACAATGAAAAGGGTCAATAGTGTTGCTTGGATACATTAAAACTAATCAACAGGTTAACCCTTAATGTTGTGCTTTAAGCAAAAAATGTCCTTAAATCAATTCATTCATAATTAGTTTAACATTAATCAAATTAACAATTGATAAATCTCATTGGACGTGATTTGTGAAATTGAGTTGTTACTGATTAACTTATTGTTAGATTAAAAAATTAAGAGTAATAGTTTTTTTATCCTTCTCTTCACTGTAATCAGTCAATCTTCTTGAATTAATCAAGATTTAGGTGTTGAGATAATTATCAACAACAACAACAATAACAATTTAGTCTGAAAACAACAAAACAACAAGTAAATTAAAACGAAATGATAACGGGAGTTTAACGGGAAAAAGGAAAAGCGGAAGGAAAGAGAGATCAGAATTAAAAGAGAAACAGAAATACAATGAGATGAGAGAGGATAATGGATGATAATGATGATCGAGGCTCATCATTATCACCTTTAACCACTTTCAACTGAATCAAAGATAAAGTGATCATTTGAATATATATTTTGATTAGTTGAATAACAGTAACGTGTTAATTGTGTTTCCAATTAACGATAACAATGTAACAAAGATCAGAAAGTTAATTAGACTAATTAATAAGATTGACCTGTTAGTTTATCTTTTCAGTGGCAAACAAAAAGATCAATTGAAATAAATTGTGTAATTGTCTTAATTGTGATGAAAATAATTGAATGAGAATCAAATGTATCATTAATTGTAAGCAAGAAGAAAAAGAAAAAAGAGAAAGTGAATTCATTTGTAGAAAAAAGAAGATTCAATTCAAAAGATTTGCTAACTTATTGTTATTGTTGTAATTTGTAATTCTCTCAAAGTTGGTAATCGAGTGAATGAAAAACTGGACATGAAGAGGTGAAAATGTATCAGCGAATGATGAAAGAAAAGGTAAATTAAGATTAAATGAGAGAGATAAAAGATGACGATGAGAAAAGATTGTCAGTCAAGCAAATAATGTGCATCTTAAACTTTCAACAAAACCATCAACAAGTAACAATAACAACTTTTTCATGGCATCGAATTGCCAATTCATTTTCTCACATCAACATACAGGGTCATTGATGAAGGATTCATTAAGGATCATGATGATTATAAATGAAATGGATTTGAGGCAAAGGTCAGGGAAGAAGAGGCAAGAGAGAGAGAGAGAGAGAGAGAGAAAAGTAAGAGATGATGAAGATGAAAAGGGGTTTAAGGAAGAGAAAGAGAGAGAAGCAAATTCCAGTGATCATCATCATCAATAACCTGATTGAAGTTAATCATCTGAAAATGATATTATTTTGATGATTAGTGGTACTTTTGCAATTTGTTTTTACAGGTAATGCAATAAAATAATTTAAAAGTTATTAAATCAATTTTTGTGAAACCTTTTATTACACTTTCGCCAGGAACCACACAAACTCAGACACTCACACTAATCTTAAATCGTTATTATCTACTTTTTCATTCTAATTATAATGTTTTTCTATCCTAACTACTTTTTACCTTGGCATCATTTTCTTGTCACTTTATGTTAAATATATCACAAGAGTGACATTTAAACATAAATTGTTGTTGTTGCTACAGTTGACATTATGCTTATGCATGTTGTAGATGTTGATGATGATTATGTGTTGGTGAATTTTAATAAACATAAAATTCATGGTAAGGGTATAAATCTAAATTGAATGATCGAATGTAATTACCAGCATCACCAACATTCAATTGTAATCAGAGTAATGAAAAAAAAAACTAAATTAAAAAAAAAGGCAACATGATGCGTTTGGGTCAGAGTTAATGTGAAAAAATTAACTGAAAAACTACAAACTCAGAGCCAGTTATTAAATTATCATGATACATTCAACATTAGAAGGTAACAATTAACTTAAATTATGACGGAAAGTGGTGATGGCCAGACAATAACGCTAATGGTGATAAAAGAGTTACCTTAGAGCACTAGAGTTTTCCTATCTCATGAGAAATGATAAATTCACAATCAAATTATCAAATATTATCAATTAATTTGAAATTGGATTTTTCGAATTTTTTATCATGATTTTAGTCAGTAAGATAAAATAACTGATTGTAGAAACTAAAATGAAACAATTTCACCTGACTAAATATGATTAAAATTAATTATGAAAGATATGTAATCAGGCATTGAAAGGATGGAATCAAAAATGGAAATAACAAAAGAAACGATTGAAAATGAATCAGAATAAAGGTTGAGGGAGAGAGAGAGAGAGAGAGAAAGAGAAATTCAACCAAATGATGAATTAATTATCACCAGGAGACTAGTCTGAAAATCATTCAACTACTACAAACAGTAATTACCATAAAAAATAATGAACACAAGATTCAAAAAATAGAAAGGGAGAAGATAAGAAAACAATGCTGAAGATACGGTAATGCAAAAATAATTCAACTCATTTGAATAATGGGGGAGATAGTGAAAAATAATAGACACTAACAAGAAATTATCAGATGTGTATTCAGTTATATTCTGAGTTCGGGGTTAGGAAATGGCGAAATCGAGTGCGGTAACCCGATGGCCTGGAATGATAGAGATGATGAAGATGAAGATGGAGAGAGGGGGATAAGCAGAGAAAGGAGGTGATGATGATATTCATGTCTTCTTGTTAAATCCAATTAGTAGAAGTAGTTTTGTGGTATTGAAAGTTGTTCAAGTTGAAGTGATGGCTCTTTTTGAGTTTTGTTGATTGTTGTATTAATATCATTGAAATAATTTCAACATTTGTATACTAAAAACAATCTAATAGATATCCAAGTCCAAACATGATCGTGAGTCGGTCATTGAGATGATGAGAAAGATATAAACACAACAATATCAAAATATATGCATATTATCATATATTTTTTTAAATATACAAACACAGTAAGAAGATGATGAAAACATGATAAATGTGACCATTCACTGAAGATGATCCAAAAAAAATGATTCACGATGTAAGGAAAAACGTTTTTGGCTGACCGGATAGTTGATTGTTCAGTATCCATAATTCAAACTTGCTTGGATGATTTTATGTATGTAATATGTATAAAAGAGACGGATGAATGATGATGACCACTCGTTAAGGGAGAGTAAGACCAGGCCAACAGACCGGTAGGTAGGTAAATCCAAGGATTATGGAGAGATGATGATGATGATGATGATGTGAGCTTATTTACTTGCTAGTTTGGTTCAATGATTATGCGATTGCTTGTATGTTACTGTTGTTGTTGCCTCATTAATGTTGTTTGTTACTGTGTATTATTGTTGATACTTTACACAAGAAGTAAAAAACAGAATAGGGTGCACACACACACAAAATATCTGGTATACATACTTCACAATAAGTCAGGTATATGTAGTTAATATTTAACTAAATATAATGAACTCACTCATTTGAAACTTTCCTTGTTTTTTTTCTCTCTCTCTCTTTTAATAGTGAAAGTAACTTAAAAAATGTAGATTTAAGGTTGATGGATAAAGTAATAAAGGTAATAAAAGTTTTGAGTTACGTTAATTTTACCATTGACATACTAACCTAACATTAGTTTCTTGAACAATTTGAGATTTGATTGAATCAATTTTCTCTGTTAATCGTTTCCTCCTTTGAACTGGTGGTAACTCAGCGTAGTCATCCTTAATATCCTCATTTGATGTCTATGGTGATAATCATTTTTAAAAGATGATTGTTGAGATGAAGTAAAAGTGGAAAATAAAAACAAAAGTTAGTTTCGCAGTGTAAATAACAAGCTAGTAACAGTATTTTCAGGTGAGTGTGTCTAGCAAGTAATTGTGAATATGTGAGGTGTTTTATAAAAAGAAAAGCATATCAATGTATCATGCTTTTAGTGATAAAGACAAAACGTCAAATAAAAAAACCGAAAAGAAATAAAGATACGAGAGAGTAAAAGAGAGAGAGAGAGTGCGGGAAAGAAAAAAAAGAGATGATAGATAAGTTTAAGTAAAGAATAAACGGGATAAGAGATGATAAAGAAAAAGATGAGTATATAAGTAGGTGGAAAAGTAAAAAAGATTCAAGAAAAAAAAACGGTGGTGTGAGAGAGCGATGAGAATAGCATGAAGATGAGCAAGGGTGAAGGTGAGTTGTAACTTGAATTGAAGCAGAAACTTACACAGAATATGATTAAGAGTAGAAGAGAAGACAAGAAGTAGATGATAGAAGAAAAAGAGAAAAGAGAAAAAGATCATTGAGATATTTTGAGATCGTAGAATAATGGATTTGGATAAAGAGAGAGAGAAAGAGATAAATAGATGAGAAAATATAGACGAACATCGATTAACTTGAGCTAAAAATATGAAGAGAAATTACTATGGTTTGAGAAAAGAGAATAGAAAAACGAAAGATTAAGATGACAAATAAGTGTTACCTTATTGGATCCGAAAAGATTGAATAATCCAACTCTTTTTCTTATTTTAAGATTCAGTGTATCTTTACCATGCCTTATGGTTTCAGGTCTCATGCTAATATGATGATAATTTGAGGAGTGATTTGAAATATTGTCACTTAATGGTCTCGGATTGTTAAGATCTTCAAATGGTATATCATCCGGAGGTTCCATTCCAGATTTATAACGTTCTATCACTAAAACACAATCATTACGTCCATCAATTGTTTCAGAGGCAATTATGATTCCTTCTAAACACTTATTAATTATCGGTGTAACTTTTTGCTGTATCACAGCAGTTTCTCTGATAAAATCTTTTATACAGGCTATACGACGTTCCTCCATTGCTTGGAATCTTTGAAAAACCATAGGTAATAGTTCATTATAATGTAACCTTTGATGTTCATTTGCGAGTTGAAGGTATTTGGCATATTCAGTTTTAGATTCTTCACACATTTGACTTTTGGCTGTTGAACTGAGTTTTGCTTTCTCAACTTCAGCTCGGCTAAGATTTAGGTCGGCATCAACCCTTAAAAAATTTTCTTGAGCTTTTTCGGCTTCCCTGTAAGCTTTTTCATAAGATTTTTTGGCTTTGTCCAACTGTGCTAGCGATCCGGCTAACGTGGTCTGGTGTTTTTGTCCCTCATTTAATATCCTTTTACGTTCTTCTTTCATTTCTTTAACCAGTAATGCTATTTGTTTAACTATAACACCCATCATGTTTTCAGCGATTACTTCATGTTGACCAGCGAGATCCGTGATTTCCTGTAGCATCATCATGAAGGCTTTTAAATAGCTGAACCTGTAAGGAGAGGAAAAAAAAGAAGGCAAAGAAAGTGGAGGGAGAGAAAGAGAGGTTAGTAACAAATAGGAAAGAGAGAGAGAGAGAAAGAGAAAGAGAGGATGAAAAAGAGAAGAAAGAAGAGATAGTGATAAATAAAAACAAGATACATGGCTGAAGGGATGAAGAACTGATGAAGGGAGAGAGAGAAAATTGAAGAGGATTGTAAAAGGAAAAAAAAGAGAGAAGGATGCTAATGGACTCACTGTTGGTCTTCTTCATCTTTTTTCTTAAATTGATGATTTTTAACTAGTCTTCTTAATTTTGATGCATATTCCGTCTCGATTGCACATCTTTCTTTAACAAAAGAGCCAAATTTGTCCAAAAATTCAATACCCTTATGAGTATGACAGCTTATATTTTCATATTGATCCTGGAGAAGAAAAAAAAAATGAGACAAGAAAAATTTGAAAAAGGTGACACAAGTTAAAGAGACAGAAAGAAAGAAACAATTGAAAACAGTCAGTCAGAAATTCAGTGATTGTGAGATAAAGAAAAGAGAATAAGAAAAATGAACAACCCGAATAACATTGACAAGAGGAAAAAAAGTAAAATAATCCTAGTAAAAAGTAAGAACCAAAAAAGAAGAAGAAACGAATGAAGCTTCTCTTTTTCTCTATAGCCAACGCCTTATTGGTTTTTTCTTCTTTTTTACCTTACCCTGGGCTAGTGATTCCATTCAACTTACCCATAATTCAACTCCCCAACTCATTGTGGAAAATTGTATATACACACATACACTAGCAACAATTTATCTCTCCGTGATTATACTAATGAGATGTTGAAGTTGTCGTTGTTGTTGATGTTGTTAATTCTTGGTATCCTTTAAAATATACACACATATACACATTCACAGAAAAGCACAAAAATCTGTTGACGGAAAAGGACAAAAAATAATTGATCTTTTATATGATTTAAATCAATTGTTTCCACTTAAAAAGACAACCAATTGTTAATCAAGTTTCAAAATAATCAAACTATCCAGTTAAAAAATAATTAACAATCAAAAATAATTCATTCATTTAAACTAATCTTTAATTAATCAAAATGAATCATTTCATTTCATCAGAAGGTCTCAACAAATAAACAGAACATTCAAGAGGAGATTAAGAGAGACACCTGACGATGAACAAATAAACTATTCGAAAGAAAACAAATGTGTCGCCATCTCTTGTTCATAAACTAATCAAATTCGAGTTGAATTTTCTTTCACTTAAATTGTTTCCGATTTCAACTTGTTAACAGTTTTGATATTTTATTATTAATACATTTGATTATTTGTGTTATTTGATAGTTTTGGATCAATTGAATGTTGATGATTAGTGATGACTTGATTGAAAATTGAATTAGAGTCTCATCTTCTCATTGATAAGTCGAGATCAAAGTTAATTGATGATGAAAATGAAATTTTCGAAAAATTAATCAACTAAATAAAATTAAACTAAAAAATGACATTAATTACGAGGATATCTAATATTGAAATTGGACATTCATTACTTTGATTTCTGACAAAAGTCTTCTGAATAAAAACTTAATACCAAAAGTTTCATGATTGCTCATCAATCATGATTTTACTTTCTGATCGTTATTTAGACAGCTGATTTTGAATAAACATTAATTTTACATGATACAAGTTTTCAGTATAAACTAATTTTCATTAAGTTTGGTCTATGGTAAAGATTAATTTAGATAATTTTAAATTGTTTTTGAAGGCGTAAAATTATGCATATTATTAAATTTCAATATACCTCCCTCGAAATGATTTTATTAAATATTTTCTTGTTGGTCCAATATTCTAGTTTCGTCTTAATTTTGGCAGGAATTGCTTGTGGCAATGGTACCGTTGCCTCATCTATTGCTAGTTTAGGTGACAACGATGATGCCTTTGCTGGTGCTTCTGGTGCTTCTGCCGCTTCCTCTGCTGGTGCCGCTAGTGCTGGTGTTTATGGTCATGGTAAATAGTTTTTCATCAAATTTTATTCGCAGTGGTTGTAATTTAAATAGATAATAAAATTTAAATCTGACTCATCATTCAAATGAAAAATCTCTTTTATAAACGTAACGTAACCTCCTTTCTCATGTTTGCATGCGAACGTTACAACAATTTAATATCTAAATGTACTTAATTGTATCTCTGATGATGAAAACTACCAGAGAAACATGAATATTTAGTAAAAGTTTATTAGGTCAATCCATTGAAAACTAACCCGTAGACGACAAATTCATTTTGCAGAAATTTACTCTGAATTTGCAAAAATCCAATTCTTTTGATGAACCAACTCGAATTGATTTGACGGTGACCAAAAAAACTCAGAAAAAATTCAACAATTAGCTTAGTTGTTAAGATAATTCAATGATTTGTTGTTTAATTGCTTTTACGAAATAATTTAAAAAAGAATAAAGTTTCATCTTTAATTTGAATCATTCGCAAATTGTGATCATTTGATTTTCTTTTCTATTCCGCTTGGTGCTGCTTCTGTTCTGTATTTTGTTTTGGTTCTGGAAGGTTATCATTCGTGTTATAATATTAATCATTTGTCTTCATCTTTGTGTCATAATTATTGTTAATTTTATTTTGTTATTTAAGTGAATTACGTTTTAATTTTGACTGTGGTGTTATTTTCTACTGTTTCAAAGTAATTAATCATGGATGATAAAGAGATTAATAATAATAATGAGAATGATGTTTCCACAGCTCATCAACAGCTTTTCTCTCAGGCAACATTAGCTGGTTTATTCTCGGGTTATCCATTTGTCTTACCTAATAATTATCCTTGGACAAATTTTGTTGTTCCAACTGAAACAGGTAATCCCAGTCTATCAACTCCTTCTATTGATATAAGTAGCCTACTTGGAGGTGGTTCCGGTGGTGTAACAATGTCTATGGATCAGATAACACAGAATGTCGCTTGGATGTCTTACCTTTTTCAATTTCAAATGTTTCAGCAAATGTACGCTCAGTATTTGGCTCAACACATGAGTCAACCAGCTTCTCTATCAACCCTTTCGTCAACACAATTACCCGATGCCTGTCTTCTTGACGGTCATTTACCACTTAATCCACCCATGGACCAAGCAGCAGCCGCAGCAGCAGCAGCACCTTCAGCAACTGTTCCTCCCCAAGGCAATAATAATAATAATATTAATAATAATGTGATCGATGCTGCTGCTCCAGTACAAGAGCCTATTGTTGGAGCTGCTCGTCTTGAACCCGCTGTACCAGCAGCCGGTGTTAGATTAGCACCAGCCCCTGCGGTAGCCCCAGTTGAAGAGGATGAAGATTTCGTTCAACGAGATTGGATTGATTGGCTTAGTCTGATTACCCGAGCTGTCGCCTTAGCCAGTTTCATCTATCTCTATGCATCATTTGGTCGTTTTATGTTGGTCACTGTTTTATATTTCCTTTATAGATTGATGACAAGTGTAGTTGAAGCTTATAATGCTTTCTTAGCCATTGGAGCCCCAAGACAAGCCGCTGCACCTGTACCACCTCAACCACCAGCCGCTGGAGCAGCGGATCAACAACAAAATAACCATGGTGCTAATAATAACAATAATAATATCAATAATAATGTTAATAATAATCAGAACGATGGTCCAAACCATTTACAACAAGTGATGGATGGAAACATTGATGATCATCATGCAAATAATAATAATAACCCTTTGGCTGGAGAGCAACAAAGTTCCAATGAGCAAACGAAAATCCGTTTATTCTTTGCAATGGTTAAAGCTCTATTCTCATCTTTAATTCCATTACAAACTCAGCCTTTATAGCCTCAGGGTCAGGGGGTTAATCAACTCTTTATATATCAGACAATTAACTATTTTATGTGTAAATCAAAAACAAAAAGAAACAAAAAAATTATCTAATCCACCGCACTGTTGACAAATGACAGATTACATACACTCTCTTCCTCTCCCTTTGCCCACCTCTTCTCACTTTTATCCTCAGATTAGGAGAAAAATATCTTCCTCTTCGAATTTGGGTTAACACAAAAATCGATTGTTTTTAAAAAAAAAAGAAAACCAATTTAAATACAAGTGAAAACCTATATAAATAATCATCAAAATTCAACCGGAAATCAGTTGAGTCCAGTTAAAGATCCAATGTGACCTGTGCCCCTTGTGAGATCAATTCTTTCTGGTCCCTAGTCCCTTTAAATTATTTGTTAACCACAATCTACAAACTGTTAACTCCTTTGGTTTGACCATCTCTCTCCCAATTTCCCCAACAATCAGTTCTTAATATCTTAATACCTTTTTTCCTTTCTTTCTTTGAATTGAGAGAAATTAATTTCCTCAATCAAATAGAGTAAATAAACAAAAACGATAACTGATTTTACCTTGGTTAATGTAAAAAGATTAATAAATCAAATAAATTACTTCTTACATTGTAAAATTTAATTTACTCGCAATTTATTTCACAAGATGAAATGATAATTGTTTTCTTTTGTTTTACCAGAAGACTCACTTAATAGGTTTTTAGATATTTTCCTTATTTTTTTCTGATAATTAAAATAGACGATAAATATTATTGAGTTAATTGATTTTCAATTTAGCAAAAGCTTGAGCAGCTTCAACTGCAGCAGTTATCGCAGTTACATTGGTTCCTGAGGCTTGAGCTGATTCGGGCTTTCCGCCGCCTTTACCGTTAATGATTGGGCTTAATTGTTGAACCCATTCATTGGCTTTTAATCCGGATGATGAAATCAATTCAGAGGGAACTGAGGCTAAACAAATTATCTTCTTGTCATCACAACTGATGAACATGGCTGCGGTTTTTGGAGAGATTGATTTGATTTGTTTAACAGCGGCATCAAGAGCTTTAGCATTACTACCAGCTTCCAAAGCTTTAACGACAAACGGTGTATCTTTTAGACTTTCGGCTAAAGCTTTAACTGTTTCCGTGACTTGGTTTAAATTAGCAGCTTTTGATGCTCGATCAGCATCATCCAGTTTCTTTTTAGATGCATTTAAATTGTTTCGAAGTTCATCTTTCTTCCAATATGAGATGTTTGATTGTGATACCTCTTCAATTAATTCAACGATACTTTTAACCAATTTTTTCTGTTCAATTGCATTGGTAGCTGATTTAACTTGTTCTGCTATTTTATCAGCTTCAGTTTGGAAAAGAGCAGCTTTTTTAATTGCTCGAGTCGCTTCTGGTCCAGTTAAGGCTATTATACGACGGATTCCTTTCGATATCGCTTCTTCACTTGAGATTACGAAATCGCCGATGTGTCCACTTCTCTTGAGATGTGTTCCACCGCAAAATTCAACGGAAGTTTCCAGACCAGCATCGCTTTCAGGATTGGTGAGAAGTGAATCAATTGGAACACCGATGGAAACAACTCGAACGGGATCAGGATAAGCCTCGTCGAAAACAGCTCTCAATCCTTTTATTTCTTTGGCCTTTGGAAGAGTAGCATCAGCGGCATAAACAATCTCATTTTTTTCGATAACTTTTTGTGAAGTTTGTTCAGTTTCTTTCACTTGAATTGGACTCATTGGACCTTTATTGGTGAAATCGAATCTCAATCGATCTGGTGCAACCAAAGATCCTCTTTGTTCATTTTCAGTCTTCAATACAGCTCTTAAAGCATAGTTTAGAACATGAGTTCCAGTATGATTGTTCATAACTGATTTTCGACGATGTTGATCAATTTGTAATTTCATTACATCTCCAATCTTTAAACATCCGGATGCCACATTTCCTAAATGTACAATGTAACCCCCTTGACATTTGACATCTCGCACTTCAAATTCACAGTCTTCATCATCACCACTTTGACCATCTTTGGTCATAAAACCAGTGTCGAAAATTTGACCACCAGCTTCAGCATAGAAACATGTTGTATCCAAGATGACACCACATTCCGTTCCTGAGTCAACCGAGTCGACAAATGATGCATCCTTACGTAGAGCCAATATACGACCAGAACAGGGTGGAAAAATATATTCGGCATTTGGTTCATCACTATTTGCTTTATAATCGTATTTAGGATCATCATTAGTAAGGGGAACTTTCAATTGTTCTTTTAGCTCAGCAATTGAATGGACATTTAATTCGATTGGTGAGTGTTGACTTGTGATCTTTGATTGTGATGATGCTTGAGCTTTAGCTTTAGCTGCTTCATAACCAACCATATCGATGGATAAATTTTTCTCTTCAACCATTAAATGAGTTAAATCGAGAGGGAAACCATAAGTATCATAAAGTCTCCAAGCAATATCACCCGGTAGAACTTTATTATCACCAAGTTTTGTGATTGTCCTTTCGAGAAGACGACGGCCTCTTGATAGGGTTTTAAGAAATTGAGTTTCCTCTTCGTTAATTATGTCAATCACTGTTTGTGGATCTTTTTTCATTTCAGGGAAAAATCCACCCAAAATGTTGACCACAACCGGAACCAAAGATGCAAACATTCCTGGTTTCGCACCGAGCTTTTCAGTACCATACCGAACAGCTCGACGTAAAATACGTCGCAAAACGTAGCCCCGGCCAACATTATCGGGCCGACCGCCGTCTGATAGAGCAACGGTTAAGGTTCTTGCGTGATCGGCGATGACACGATAAGCCATGTCAATACCGTCTACATCTTCGGCTCCAACTTTACCAGTATATGGACGACATCCGGTCATTTGAGCGGTCGCTTCAAATATGGGTACAAAAATGTCCGTATCGTAATTGGAGCGTTTATTTTGAATGACTGAGGTGATTCGTTCAAAACCCATACCAGTATCAACATGTTTCTTAGGTAATGGTTTAAGGGATGAATCTTGTTCTCGATTAAATTGGATAAACACCAATTCCAAATTTCAAGAACATCGGGATCATCCATATTCACAAGATGAGCAGCATTTCGACCTCCAATTCTGTCATAATGTATTTCAGAACAAGGTCCACATGGTCCAGTGTCTCCCATTTCCCAGAAATTATCCTTCATACTTCCTGGAATAACTTTAGATGGATCAAGGCCAAGATCGTTTATCCAAATGGATTTACATTCGTCATCCGGTTCTAAACCTGCTTCAGTTGAACCACCGAAATAGGTAACATAGAGTCGATCCTTTTCTAAACCATATTCTTTGGTTAATAATTCCCATGCCCATGAGCAAATTTCCTTCTTAAAATAATCACCGAAAGACCAGTTACCCAACATTTCGAAAAAGGTATGATGATAAACATCTTTACCAACATCATCTAAATCATTATGCTTTCCACCAGCACGAATACATTTCTGAGAGTTACAAGTTCTCTTGTATTTAGCTTGGTCACTATTTGGATCACATGTACCAAGAAAAATTGGCTTATACTAGAAAGAAAATGAAAATATAAATATAGAACGAGATTAACCAACAGATGAATATTGAAATTAGAATTTTAAAGTTTTACCTGATTCATACCAGCATTTGCGAATAGTAAAGTTGGATCATCGAGTGGAATTACCGATGAGGAAGGAACAAATTCATGGTTATATTTTTGGATGAAAAAATCAATGAACTTTTGACGAACTTGATTACAATCCATGGTTACACCTGATTAAAAGAAAACAAAGAGATGAAAATGTGAGTAAAGAAAAAGAAAAAGAAAAATTAAATGAAGAATATTGAATTATCTCGACTGAATCGTGGCAATCGTTTTTCTTCAAACAAGAGAAATGAAACAACAACAGTTAGAATAGAAAAAGGTAACATGAGAGAAATGGAGAGAAAGAGAACAGCTAAGAAATGAGAGAATAACAGGATTGTATTGAAATCCCGATTTCTAGAAAAACAGGAAATAAACGGTTATTTGTGGTGATCGAACCATTCAACTAATCAGGTCAGGAAATGGGCTGGGTAGAAACGCGTTAGAATATAAGACAATCTTGAAATGAGAAAAAAATGGCCTTCGAACGAGGTCATTAAACAGGCAACAACAACAACAACAACAAGAGCGAATATTTTGCTCCTCAACAACTGGATTAACACTTATACTGTAACAATTTTAACAATAATTACGCCAAATTAATCATTGATCAAATTGTGACAGTTAATCAAACACAAGGGCAGAGAAAAAAGTTAATCCCAATTGAACGGGTTCTCATCTCTCAATTGGGTCTCATCTTTCACTGGTTATTATTGAAAATAGAAACACTGTCATAGACAATAAAGAACAGCAAGACATTCACTCACCTTTGATAATTGAAGAGAGATCAATATTAATTAGAGATGATTAAAATTAAATGGAATTAAATTAGTTAATGTGATTGTGTTTACAAACTGAATGAGAAATTAAAAACCACGTTAAGAATTTATTTTCACCGCTAGGTGATGATTTAACATTGTAACTACAGGGTAAGTACTGTAGCTCCTCCTGGCGAGGAAAGTCGTGCCTGACGACTTGGAGAGGGAAATTACAATAAGATTGAAATACAAAAATTTAGGTAAAGATAAATTATTAAAGAGAATTTACAAATTAAGTTGATTGATGATTTTGTTTCTCCATATATCCAATTCGTTGATTGTAATTAGGTACCAAGTGTTGAGGTGAAATTAAGATAGTGTCCAAATGGTTAACTCATTAGATTTGATATGAAAAGAGAAAATAATATTAGAATTTCAAAACTTTTAAATGACTTTTAAAGGTATATGTGCAAGGTGGTTTTCAGTAGGTTTATTGTTGTATTTTAAGTATAGTATTTAAAGTGTGTATTTAAAGTATGTATTTGAGATAGAGAAAAGAAAGTTGTATCAAATTACAAACAAAACTTACCAAGAAAACAAAGATGGTGGATATTATTACGGTAAAAATGGTTCAGTTTAAGAGTAACAAAAACAACTAAAGCAACAGTTGACTTATCATAATTTTGGTATCAACTTGATCCTTGTGATGAGATGAACAATAATAACACAAAATTTAATTTAAAATTCACAGGTAAAGTTAATTAAATTAAAATTTATCAGGAGCGAAGAAAAGTTAACATCTCTGTTTAAGAGATTTGGAATTCTTTCCTGCCATCTCGTGGATTCTTATGTAACTAATTTCAAATTCGAATTCGAATTTTTTGTCAAATGAAAACAAAAAAACTCTAATGATGAAATCGTGTTTACATTTTAATTGAGTTTATAGACTGTGATTAAAATTGTTATTAAAGAATTTAATTGTTAATTGATTGATTAGATTACAATGAATGTAATGAGTGGAATCAATAGGAAGTTAAATCAAAATGAAGGTCGTCAAATCGTTGATTATATTAATAAGGTAAGTTGATTGATCTTAATTGTTGTTGTTAATCTTTAATTTTTTGTGTTGGTGTTTTAATTAATTTTATTGGTTTTGGTTTGGATTTTTGGATTTCTTTTTCTTTTCTTTTGATTGTTTCTTGATTTAGCGGATCGAGGAAAAGGCTGATATGGAAAGACGTGGTATACCTTTTTTTAAGGCTGATAGTGAAGCCTTTGAGAGCCAAGATATCAAAAGATTGACCATTTTAGATAAGGTATTCAAAACTCGGACCAATCCTTTAAAATCTAAAAGGGTAAAAGAGTTTAAAATTGCAAGAGCTCATAAACCTTTTTGGTGTGAACTGGCTGGTTTTATGAATATGACCAATTTGGGGCTAAAAAAGATCGTCCTGTCAAGAAAACAAAAGAAAATGATAAAAGATCTTTACCCGTTGCCACATTGAGTCAACTTGATCTTATATCGAAACCTTCATCAGAACCATCACCGGAACCATCACCAGATCCTTCACCGGGATCATCACTTGACCATTCTCACATGTCTGAATCTTTTGAAGATGATGGAGATGATGAAGATCCATTCAGCTGGAGACAAAAGGAAAGTTTATTTTATCATTGAAAAAATTAACATGAGCAAAAACCATTTATTCAGTTACTTTTTGTAATCTCGTCGAAATGAAAGTTTATTAACAATTTGATTTGTGTCATATAATCAAACAAAAAAGAATCAGTTGCAAAGGTAAAGTTATTTAAATTATTAATTTAGCTGTGGACGGATCTCTTTTTTTCGGTGGAATTACTTTGCACAGAGATATTGTCAAAATAGAATTAAAAAAAAAAGAATCCAATTCTTGGGAAAAGATGAGACGGAAACAATTAATGGTGAGTAATTGATAACAAACGTGAAATCATTGAGATTGAGGCAACGACGATTGAGAAACGATATGTAATAAAAATGATGAGATTCTCATTGAGATGAACTTAATTAATCAGGATGGAATATATTCCAATGTGAGAAATGTAGCACTTTGTTGTTTCGTTTGATTATTAAAGTTGATTGAGAGATTCTAATTAGATAATACTAATTACTTAGATGTAGTAAGAGAAATTGGTGAATTATGATAGATCGAAACGGTTCGGTCAATGTCTTCCCGAAGTGGCCTCCATGTCAAATGAATTGGAATGATGTTGTTTGGTTTCTTTTTTAACCAATATTCGATTCTCAACCCAGAAAAGTATTGACGAAACCCATTGGAAAAAACAACCAACAACCGCTAAAGCAAAAGACCAGGAAAGATAATTATGTTCAGGATCGGGCATCCAGTCCCTATCATCGCCTTTGATGCCGAAAATTATACAAGCGGTGGTACAGAAAAGAGCTGAAAGAATGACAAATGGAAAAGAAGTTAATATTTACATGGACAAATGGAATATGATTTAAAATTTAATTTACCTGAGAGAAACATGATAATGGACAGAGCTCTCATCGCGTACATTTCTTTGTCAATTACGAAACACAATTGAATCGCTAGAACTCCGATCGCTGCAAGTAATAGGAATACGAAGCCAAGAGTGAACAATGTTTGGGTGGCAACGAAGAAAGCTAAAGATGAAGGAAGAGAAATCAATAGTTAGAATTTTTTTTTGGAATAGAATTTGGCAAAAAGTTGAGAGAATAGTTTTTGGAAGGTTTAATCGTGTCCCATTTAAGAATAGAAATTACCAGGTAATAGAAAATCTCTCAGATTAGTTTGTCCATCAGAATATTCATAAGAAAATACCCAACGACAACCCGAATAGTATTTAAAGTACAGAAAATCATATGGATTTTTGATACTTCTGAAACATGTCTCCCAAAGGCCTAACTTATCAAATTCTGCTCCATAGTAACGACGATCGGAGGCAAGCCAATAAGGTGTAGAAAATGCAATCAAGGTGGAAATGAACGCGAGGGCAAGTGCCGCTAATGCGGAGAGACGAGCATCGGACATGTGAACCATTTTGATTCTTTTGAGTTGTCAATTAATGTTGACCAATTTTCACAGAAAATGAGAATAATTTTGGCAAATTTAAAGGTGAGAAATAAACTAAAAAGCAAGGACAATATCTCCTGTGATGAAGATATCAGATTATCTTAATGACACTTAGAATAATTAACTAAAGATGATTAAGTAAATGGCACAAGAATTACAATAGTTAAATTGTCATCCAAACAATAGATGGAAACACACACAAGGTAAACAAGAAATTAATCTGTAGTAATTAGTTTTAATTCTTCACCCATTTCATTCAGTTCTCTCTCTCTCAAATCAACTTTTACTCTGTTTCTTAAATTCTCACACTAACTCAATACCTTGTGAAGAAATGAATCGTTGAAGAAGAGGAAGATGATGATGGTTGCGAAGGAGAAAAACAAGAGAATAGAAAAACAACAAAAAAAAAATGAAAATCACAATCAGAAAAGACAGAAAAGATAACTTTTGAATTGAATAATTATTACGAAAAGTGATTAACAAATTGAGAGTAAATTGGTTGAAGGGTCAACATGTAGTTGGAAAGATCAGATTTCACCAACAATTGATCAACAGGATCAGATGAAAGCGACATTCCTAATTAACTCGGGAAAAAGAGACATTCAAGTAACAGAAAAAAAAACAAACTGACAAAGTAGCAAAGGTAAGAGACTGAGAGAGAAAAGGAAGTAAAAAAACAGAAAAGAAAAGAAAGAGAAAAGAAAGGTAACAGTTGAAAAGCATGGACGCCGCCCTTAAATCTCTCTATACAAATTTCCACTTCTACCTGTACCTGAGCACCAGAAAACTTTCTGGTTACCAGTCAAGCGAAAGGTAAAACCAATCTCTCTCCTCTCTCTCTCTCTCTCTCTCTCTCTGTCTCTTTCTACATTTCTCTCTGGTTCCTCTTTCAACAAATGAGAGAGATAATATTACCTGTAGTTTTCTCCATTTCCATCAATTTTTTTCTCTTCTTCCCTATTGGCCATCTTTTTTTTCCAATTGCTAATCAATTGTGATTGATATGCGAATACAATTTGTAGTGATGGAAAAAGATTTTATCTCTTTTGCAAATTTCGCTTGAATTGGCAGCAAAATTTCATCAACAGTGAGATTGAAGATGAAACAATTAGTCTTCCATTAATTTCTAGTATCATCGCAAGTTGACAGAAAAATGAAAACTTGTTAGATTGTTGTGATTACCTGTCATTATGTTTACTAAATCAATAAATAATGTTAATTTTCACTTCTTTTGGTTGAAAATTGTTTTTCACTTGACTCTGGTTGACAGGATTAGAAATCAGGGAAAGACAAATTTCATGTTCTCATTAAATATTAAACGTTTTGGTCATTTGAGGTTGGTAATTGTCTGAGGACACGATAGATTTTCTATTCTCTTACAACTTATAGGATTTATAGAGATATTGGAATATAAGAATTAAGTTGATATACTTACGAGGTTTTAAGAAATATGAGAGAAGATAAAAATCTTTATCAAAAATCCAACGACATCCTCGGTAAACTAAATCATATCGATAACTTGGATCTTCAAAAGATTCAAAGCAAACCTCCCAAAGGCCGAGGTTATTGAAACGTCGTATTGGTGCCCGTCCATCTGATGCTAACCAATAAGGTGTCACAAATGAAATTATACCGATCAATGAGCTGACAAAGGTGAAAATGGCCGCATAAATTGACGGTCGAACTGCCGTAATATCAAACATCATATTTGGAAAGGTGATTGTTTATATTTAAGGTCTTTGGTTTTGTGTTGTCACTTGTTACAAATTAAGCTGAGATTTAAAATGGAGATTCCTTGTTGATTAATCACTAAGGGCCATGGTTAACCCATATCATGGAGATAAGAAGACACAATAATTGAATAACAATTAACTTGCGGAAAATCAGGTCCAATGGTTAAGTTGATTGTTTCTCTTTTTTTTCTACAACAGGAAATAACTCATAAAGCCTTAGAAATGTAACCAAATAAATGACAAATAATGGAGATAATTAAATCTACTATAAACAATAGATAACGATGATAATGATGGCTGGATGAACAATGCAGGCGATAATTGTATTAATTAGAATTGAAATTTAGGTCCAAGACAAATGATCCAATGTGTATAGTTAACGAATAGAATCCGATTGTATGTATAGATACATTTACCATTCAAGTGAATAAGTTGCGTTGGGTGTGGGTATTGGATTAGAGAGAGAGAGAAAACAATTCCTTTGTTACAGTTAATCCACTCACAGAAATTAACGACGATTCCAATTAAACTCTATTAATCCTTGGTGATTCTCTTTAAATCCTAAAGAATATAAAGTAAAAAAGAACAAGAGAAAATAAGTTGATAAATTGTAACACAGAAAAAGAAAACAAAAAAAACCATCAACATGAACATCACCAGGTAACAGGTAAACATGAATTGATAAAAGGTTCAATGGTTAAAAAGACGATTAAACCTTATTCCATTTTAAGGGGTAACCATTGGGATAAGAACATAGGTACATACAATTAATGAACAATTAAAACTTACCTTCAATTACATTCTCTCAATGGAAATAACCTGAGAATAGAAATCACATTGAAAAAGGTTAAGTGTCCGTTGGAAGAGGCAACAAGCAACTGACTCACTTGTTGTTAGTCAAGAAAAAGAAAATTCAAAAAAAAATGTTTACCTTTTCATTGAGGAAACTTTTTGGTTGGAGTTTGACTTTTTTAAACAATTTACTTGATTGTAATTGATTGTGAGCGATCATTGCTTTGCGAATTGTTTGATTGCTGTAAAGAGTATGTGTTCACTTGAATGTATCGTTATACATTTACATGTATTAAGTTCTTGGTGAGAAACTAAAGTATGAAAATTGATTGGAAAATATTATCATTAGATTTTTATTTATACAATTAATTTTTATTTTTATTTGTATCTTGATTATGATTTTGATTCAATCAATTGTTGTTAAATGATGAATGAATCCACTAGAATGGTTTTCAGTTACTGACACAATCGGAGATAATGGTTAATAAAGACTCTGAATTATAAGGTGATAAGAAAGTTCTTGTGAAAAAGTTCAGAGCTGGGTTGGTATGAATAAGCATCTGATTAGCAGGTCGAATGATTGAAATGAGACTGAATGAATTGGATCACAAGAGTATTGGTCTTGAACTTGGTCGAACTGTACTTTCGTCGGCAAGATTGGCGTGAATATCGTTGACGAAAAGATTCGATGTTATCAATGACCATCTTAGGATATTCAGGATATACGATTGATCATTTTCAATGGAAAAGTCATCGATTGTAACAATTTGAGAAAATTGTTCATATTATATCATATTAATTGACAAGTACGTCCATAAGTTTATAGTCATTCCTTGAACTGGTCAGCTACATTGATCTGTAAAGCACAGCTCATAAACTTTTAACGTAATCATCTTATTAATGATTAATTCAATGTCATTTCAGTTTTCTTAAAACAATTTTTGAACAATTAGATAAATAAGTTTAGGGAGAAAAGCTATCAAACTGATTATATAAATTCAATGAAATTAATTCTTTATTTTAATGCTATTTTATTCACTAATTTAGTGGAAGATTGTAAGATTTGTTAATTAGTCGAAGAATGAAATTCTTTTGCCCTTCAGTTTATGGGTTTAACTGAAGTTTGTCGAATACCATTTGCTTGGTTGACAACTTGATCACCGAAAGCGGTCAAAGTGTAGCCTCCTGATGGACCATTGGTCATGTCGAGAGCGACATCAGTTCCACTGTTTCCGTACCAAGACCAGGCTATCCAACCCATTTTCTTTTCTTGAGCGTAACTAAGGATTGTTGAAACATCGGTTGGCTTTTCTTGAGGTAATCGGTCACCAAATTCACCAAGAATCACGGGGAATGACATTTGAAGGGATTTGTCGATGTTACTCTTGATATTGGCTGAGTCTCCACCAGCATATTCGTACATGTGAATAGAAAGTACAGTTCGAGCAAGTCGATCGGCTTGGAAAACTTCATTTCCCTTCTCGAAAATGGATTGGGGATATTGTCCATAACCAGCAGCGTCTACGACAATCAAATGTTCAAAACCAAAATTTCGAAGCTCTTGAACAGCATATTTGTTACCTTCGGCCCAGCCCGATGAGTCCCAACTTCCATACCATTCGTTGGCAATGTTGATAATAACTTGATCCTCTTTACCAACGATAATGTCCTTAAGCTCTTTCCAGTAAGCGATGGCATCCTTAAGATCTTGAAGATTATCGCTTCCAGTAGCATCGTGGACATCAAACATTACGATAAGTTTGTGGCTTTCACAGAGAGAAATCATTTTTCGGACAGATTCAGGTTCATCTTTGGCCCATTTTTTACCATTGGCAAGTACGATTCGGATAATATTAGCGCCAGTTGCAGCGATTGAAGCGATAGCACTTTCGATATCGTCCTTGAACCAAGCATGGCCATGATTGATTCCTCGCATCATGAATACCTTACCATTGGGATCGATAATGTCACGACCAGAGACGGTGAAACCTTTGTAACAATTAATAGTTACAATTAACATGGAAAAGATGACTAAAAAGCAAGGGGGTAATAACATTTTCATCTCGAAGCTTGATTACAAAATTAGATCAACAATTAACTATCAGTATTGATTGTGTTATGAATAATTTTCAATCTGGTCAACCTATTTATATGAAGATTAACAATGAGCACAATTAAAGCTGATGTCATATTAATACTAATCAACGATAAAATGATCATGTTAATCAAAATCAATTGACATTTTTCTCTTTTTGATTGGCAACAATTCAATTAACAAATTGATTGAAATTTGATTGTTAACATATTAACACGTATCAATTTTAATTGTTCTCAGTGACGATCTTAATCAACTTCAAACAATTTAACATGAAACTTAATTGTTCTAAAACTACATCCATCTTCAGGTGTAATGACTGAAACCATCAATGGATAAAATTATGAATCAATACAAATGACAAGTATTCATCAAGAATTGATTGTGACAATTGCTCACAAAGACATAGTTAGACATGTGAGAAGACATTAATTATCATCGGAAAAAAGAAACAAGAAAATTATTTAATCAAAATTAATACGAATGCAAAAATATCGCTTCACCAGAATTTATCATTCGAAAAGTTTTCGAATAAAATTTGGAAAAAGTTGAGAGAATAGTTTTTTCTATCAATTTCGATTATTTTGAGTTTCCAATTAATTTTCAATTACCAATTTTCAGAGGATGAAAGATTGACTCATTTGTAATTAATGCGATTATTAATTTATTATTAATTGCAAAGAGTATAAATTGACTTGAAGGTAATATATTTTTATGCATATATTAAGCTCTGGGTAAGAAACAAAAGTATAAAAATTGATTGGAAATCGATAAAGTTAATACATTGAATTGGATTGGAAAACATTATTATAATTAGATTTTGTTTAATTTGATCGGATGTTTTATCTTGATGATGACTCAATGAATTGTTGTAAAATGATAGTTTGATGGTGGTTCAGGTATTTTCGGTGGTATTTCTGGAATTGTTATTCCTTCGGTATCAAGTAAACGTAATTTAATTTCCATTGATAATAAACTTTCCAAATCATTAATCGCTTCTTTACTGACCATCTCATTTCCAATTAATCCATTGATTCCATCAGTCCAATAATCAAAAACTTTCTCATTTGGAGCGACAAAGTTCAAAGGTTCTCCTTGGAATGAGTCCGAAATCAATGAAAACGCCAAACCGAATGTTGACTTTTTACTACTTTTCGCATCCTTCATGTGAGCACATTCTTTCCCGATCAGCATCTCCTTAATATCGTTAACGGCCAATTTATGAGCGAGCTCATCGATTGATGGAACTTTATTCTCCTCGCAATCACCATAATAAAAGACTTTCAGTTTGTTGGATAAACGACAATACCAGAATTTGTCTTTGATTCTTTGACCTAATCAATCAATAGAGAGATGGACAAAATGAATAATCGACTCTTTCTTCATAAACGATTCTAATTCATCTTACCTTTGTTGGAATATTTAACAAATTGTGTTCCTTCAATCAGATATTGGAATCTTTGTTGTTTAATCAATTCCACAATTTCTGGTTTACATTTTTCTCTCAATTCCAATATCGCTTGTGCCTTATTCTCCCATTCCTCTCGGGAGCTTCGTTCCTTTTGCCAGAGATTCATGATCGTCGAATATGTAAGACTTGATGTTTTATTTTCGAATTTTCCAAAAGAACTTATCGCTTCCACATCGGAAAGAGCTCGAACCAATTGTTGTCGAAGAACAGAAAATACTTTGGTAAAGTCTTCACTTGTCGCTTTCATTTCTTTCCATGTTTTGTTCAGCAATGGAACACAAATACAGAAAAATTCCTCAATCGGATGATCGGCATTAAAAAACATCGGATAGAACAATTTTCCTTCATCACTTGGAGACTCACCGATCTTAAAAATCTCTACAATCAATTTGGTCACTTGAATCGCTGATTTGGCAAATGGACATTCATGTTCTCGATCTGATCTCATACAATTTTCCAATACAACATTTCGATACTTTTCTGTGTGATTACGAGCAAAATATGACATTAAATCGAGTGCCAATAGTCCTGGTGGACATTCATTAAAATCGTCAACTGGATTCTTACAATTAGTAAAACCCAAACGAATCCAATCATTTTTAATATTATTATTATTTGAACTGTTTGATTTAATGAATGACGACGTTGATCCAAGTAAACTTCGTCCACTTAAATTGCTTCCACTTCCAGAGTTGTTGACATTTCCAGCGCCAACACCACCGCCGAGATTACTGAGACCCATACTTGATCCTCGTTCGTTATTTAATCCTGGGTCAGCATCGAAAGCCAATTTCATCAATTCTGTTAATCTTTCTCTCGCTTCACTTTCAAGAATCAAACTTGTTGATGGTTTTGATGTCATTCTCTCTTCATGTAAATTAATTAATGAACTTTGAAGGATATACAGTTGATGAGCCATTTCAGATCCAACTACTGATCTTCCCAATGTTGTTGTTGTTGTTTTTGATTTTCCATTAGACATTAATGATGATGTCGTTGATGCGACACTTGCAGATATTAATCCATTTCCTGTTTCTCCTCCTCCACCATTAGAACCATTCAAAGTGTTGGTTAGATCTGTGATATTTGTCGTTGTTGATGTTGAATTAGATGATGAATTTACTGTTAGCCCAGTTGATAATCGTTCTCCAAGACCAATACCAATTCCAATCCGGTTCCAAGAACACCACCACTTCCACTCCCATTTCCTCCTGACATTGATCCCGATAATGATGATGAGGAAAATGGCGATGGATTGACAACATCATCTCCATTTCGAGAGACATTTATTATGCTTTCCAATATAATTTTTCTCATTTGTTTTGAACTTAAAGTCGCAGCAATCGCTTTTCTCTTAGGTAATTCCGATCGAACAAGAAGAGCATTGATTAAAGCGATTGTATTCTGTTGGATTAATGGATTATCCATATTCTGTTTAACGTGTTTCATCAAATTGGGTAAAGTGATCTCACTTTCAACAATAGAATTAAATGAACTTCCCGACATTAAAATATTTTCCAAAATCGCCAATGAGTTAATCAGTATCGCTGAATCATAACATTTCTCACTGTTCACATTCTTGGCGATTATTCCGACAAATTTTCCTTCCACCGAGTCCCAACTACAAACTCCATGGTTCATCAGTTCCACAAATGATTCCAATGCGAATCCTAGTCCATCTTCTGGTCTTATTGTTCCATGTTCAATTGCTCCAATTAAATATTCTTTCCCTTGTTTCGCAATAAACTGTTCCACAAAAGCGACATCACTACACAATTTAACTAATCCTTTAAGTGTTAACTTTTTCTCTTCTCCACTTGATTTACTTAATTTATCCAATATCATGACCACTGTTTTCGCAGGTGAACTAACCAAATTCAATATTGTCCCATTCGAATCTCATTACGATTCTTTTCCGTTACATAATTTTCCCGATCAACAAATTGAAGAGAATAATCAACACTCGATCCATCGATTCCCCAATTTGTTAAAAACTGTTGAATCCAAACATCCAAAGGTCTCGATTGATCAAACTCAATCAACTGGGCATTCTAAATCCATAGAAACAATAAAAACCAATAAACCCAAAAACCAACAATCAGTTAACCAAAAAAACAGAAAAGAGAAAAAAGTAAACATACAAATAGATACACACCTTATTCTCCATTTTAACAGCGATTTTCACAGAATTTGGATCCTTAATTGTTCCCATTTTCGCCCAATTCTTTCACTGCAAACCTTCCAATTAAACTTATAAAGAAAAAATATCTCACAATCGAAAAACGAAACACAATCAAAGAAAAACAATTGACTCGGTGTTGTCAAATTGTTGTTGAAATTAAATTTCTTTCCAAATGTCAATTGTTTTTCTTTCCGCTAAAAGTCACACTTATCCAAGAAAAGAATCCCGATCATCTGTTAGTCCGATAAGAATATCGGATATTTAATGTTACCACTTTTCTCATCATTTCTAATCAATTGTTTCCAATCAACTAATTACTCTATTTACCTTAATTGTTATTATATTTTTCTGATTAGTTTACTCTTTTATCTACTTACCATCTCAACGAATTAATTTATTTCTGTTTTCGCCTCTAATGTGATTAAAAGAAGAGAAATTTGATTGTTTAAAACGTTCGCTTCTTGTTTAACCAAAGTGAATTTGGAGAACCTTATTGCAAGTTTTGCTTTTCTTTTTCTTTCATCATATTTGTCACTTGTCATTTTGATTTCTCTCTGTTCATCTAAACCATGACTGAAAAGGGTAAACCTCAATATGGCGGTATTTCTGGTACGCAATCGAATGGTGTCAATGATAACAATTGGGATGAAGTGATTAACAATTTTGTTTGTAATTGTTACCAATCAGTTTTCTTTTTCAGTCTCAATTTTGCATGTCTCGGTTTACGCTTTGATTGATTATACTAATTATTTTTTTATTCTATTCTTTTTTTATATATATTCTTTTCATTTCTAGTACCCAATGTAACTACTAATATAACACAGCAACCAACAGGAACACTTAGTCAAGCTGAGTTACAGAGACGACAGGAAGAGCTTGAGAAAAAAGCTGCTGAATTAGCTGCTCGGGAAGAAGCTCTTAGAAATGCTTCAACTAACATTAAAGAAAATAATTGGCCACCAATACCTAAATTCTGTCCTGTTGGGCCTTGTTTTTATCAAGATATAAATGTTGATATTCCACCTGAATTTCAAAAGATAGTTAGATATGGTTATCGTTTATGGATTCTTAATGTATTAGTTTTATTTACTAATTTTCTTGGTGGATTAGCGATTTTCACTGTTGATGGTGATCATGATATATTTTCCTCTTCGATTCTAATGTTACTCTTCCTGGCTCCAGGTTCATTCCTCTGCTGGTTTAGACCTTTATACAAAGCTTTTCGAAGTGACAGTGCTGTTAATTTTATGATTTTCTTCTTTGTTTTCTTCTTTCAATGTATTTTCTCCGTTTTCTGGGCCGTTGGTTTGCCAACTGGTGCTTCTTGTGGTCTCATTACCGCTTTCAAGGCACATGAAAGTATCGCTTTAAGAGTATTCATCTGGATTGTCGCTGTCATTTTAATCATCAATGCTGCAGCCAACATACTTATTTTACTCAGAGTACACAGTATTTATCGTCACACCGATGCTACACTTGCTAAAGCCCAAGAGGAGTTTCGTCAAAATGTTTTCACCAATGACTTTACTCGTCAAGCAACAAGCGCTGTGGCCACATCATTAACTCGCTCGGCAATGAATCAAGCTTTCGGTGGAACTGGTACTGGACCAGCGACCGGACCAGCTACTGGATTAGGTAACCAAGTAAACTCCTCAAATGGTGTAAAATTTTAAAGTGAACAAAATTAATCAAAATCTCAATTCCACAAGTAATCATCACTTTCCATCTCAACCATTTATCATCATTATGTATCATCATCCACCTACTATACACACCTTAACAATTGTTGGTTTTATGAAAGAAAAAAAAAATGATATGATCACAATTATTATTAATTAACATAATCAATGAGAAGATAATTTGTAATCTCAGAAACAAACAATCAATTTATAATCAACACAAAAATCTAATTATCTCAAGTATCCTCCATGAATTTGTTTCAAACTCAACAAATTGATTCCAGTTCTAATTAATTCCAATCGGGAACACAAGCAAAGCATGAGAAGCAATTCTACTGAATTATAAGATCTATTCTGTTTAAATAACTTCACTTTCATCAATTGGAACTCCAATTATAATAAAATCAAATCAAACTACCATTTTAATTGTCTTTTATTCCGAAATATAAGTTGACACAATTAGAGACTGTTTGAGTAACGACAATTGATTAACTGAGATCTATGAAAATGATGAATTAGATGAAGCGAATATCGTTGAATTGTAACAAGCTTGAGTACCAGCAGCGGCGATGATCTCACTGATCTGTCCGTCGATCTGAAAACGGACGAAGGACAGAAAATGATTAGATGCGATTACAAATCAATCTAATCGATCGAATCGCTTAAATCGAGCTCTTCGAACTCGATCCTATCATGTTGAATCAATCGAAACACCGAAAAAGTCAAAGTCTTTGATTAAGACACGACGAACTAGATTGTGATACCTCTGAATATCTTGGAACCTTCAACAAATTCTAATAAAAGGCTTTAAATTGGTCCACCAGTTGACATTTCATTCCTATTAATTAAAATCGATCAATGGAAATCACTTCAACTCGAAACTCGACTAAACAAAAAGTAAAAGGAATTAAGAAAACTACACTCAGAAACTTGACTCTTCTCAAAAAGAACAGGTTAAATCATGAGATGATTTAGTTAGTCAATTAGTTTATTTTCGAAAAAAGCTCAAAAGTGGAATTGAGCATTTAAATTGTTGAAATTAAATTTCTTTCCAAATGTCAATTGTTTTTCTTTCCGCTAAAAGTCACACTTATCCAAGAAAAGAATCCCGATCATCTGTTAGTCCGATAAGAATATCGGATATTTAATGTTGTAACCAGTTTTCTATTGTTATTATGTGTCCAATTGAATAATTAATCTATTTAATTATTTGGTGAATTTCTACTAATTATCTATCTTTTCTAATTGATTTCAATATTTTCTGCAACAATCTAACCCCATTGTCCCAGCATCGTTTCTAATTTTCTCTCCTAATGTATTTAAGAAAAGAATAATAATTTTTTGGTTCTCTTAAAACCTTCAATCATTTTCTCTTGTATAAAGTGAAAACCATTTAAACCTAAAATGAGTGTAACTGTATCAAATCATTTAATTAGTAATAATAATTCTGTTCATGTTTCTTCAGGCAATTTAACATCAGCTGCTTTGGTTAACCATGGAAATGATTCAGGCCATGGGTTATTGGCTTATACTCCGATTTTCCTTCAAACTGGAACGGCTCAAACGATCGCTGGTTGTTTCGTTTGGTTAGCTTTAATTATCTCTTGTCATCAGATTTATCAACATCTTCGCACCTATACAATGCCATCAGAACAGAGATACATTATTCGAATATTATTTATTGTTCCTATTTACGGTTTTGATTGTTGGTTAAGTTTACTCTTCTTCAAGGACAACTATTATGTCTACTTTGATTCAATTCGTGATTGGTATGAAGCTTTTGTGATTTACAATTTTATGGCTTTATGTTATGAATATCTTGGCGGTGAATGTACAATTATGTCAGAGATTAGAGGTCGACCAATCAAATCAAGTTGGTGGTATGGTTCCTGTTGTTTAGCTGGTAAAACTTATACCATTGGATTCCTGAGATTTTGTAAACAAGCAACACTACAATTTTGCGCCATCAAACCAACAATGTCAGTGATCACACTGATTCTTCAGTCAGTTGGAAAATATCGTGATGGCGATTGGAGTGCCGATAGTGGTTACCTTTATGTTACCCTGATCTACAATTTCAGTGTCTCTTTGGCACTTTACAGTTTAATCTTGTTCTATCAAGCCACCAAAGATCTTCTCTCCCCCTATGATCCCATATGGAAATTTTTCACCGTTAAATCTGTAATTTTCCTCTCTTTCTGGCAAGGGGTTATTCTTGCTGTTCTCGAAAAAGCTGATCTATTACCCGAATTCTATTCTAGTGGCACAAAGGCGAGTACTGGTACCGTTTCTGCAGGTTATCAGAATTTCTTGATATGCGTTGAGATGTTTTTCGCTTCATTGGCCCTTCGTTACGCTTTCCCTTACCGAATCTATGGTGATTGTTCCGGTGATGGTAACGTGAGATCTGTAACCATGCAGAGCATTTCTAGTAGTCTGAAAGAAACCATGAATCCAAAAGATATCATGAATGATGCTATTCACAACTTTCATCCTCAGTATCAACAATATACTCAATATCATTCACCAACACCCTCAAAGTCACCCGGTGAAGGAGGAGTTGGCAGCAGTGGCAATGGCAATGGGAAATTATCAGGAAATGTTAACCACCATAATGGTGGAGGATCGACTAATGTTCATTCAAAAAAAGGGGGTGGAAAAGTTCATGATTCACGAATGGAATCTCATCATCATCATCATAATCAAAAGCAGCATAAAAGTGATCATCATCAAAGTGGAATGGCTAATCTAAGTGTTTCAATTGATTCGGAAGATCCATTAGCTTCATCCGGATCAACTCTGGGAGAAGTTGTAACAACCTCATCATCAGTCAGCGCCGGTGGATCAACATCATCCTCTCAAAGTAAAAAGTCCTCTTCACCCCCATGGCCATTGCAAACAATCAGTCAAAATTATTCCGAAAAAACTACTTTACTCAACTCAGATGATGAGTTCCAATAGAAAGTAGTTGAAAATTATTGTGTATCATTTTTGTATCTTTTTTCTGTCTCTCTCTCTTTTTATCCCTATTCTATTTGTCTCTATTTATCTCCATTTATCTTTATTCAGATGAGATTAAAAATCTAAGTGAGAAAAAAAAATTCCCATTGGAAAAAGTGATCAATATATTTTCTCAACAACAGCAATCAAATGGAAACATTTTGGTTATCTTAATTAGCGATGATTAAATTATCTAAGAAATAAGTTGTCATCAACCTAACAGAAGAAACTAAAATGTAAACAACAACTAAATCCATTGTAATTAATTTTAATTCTTCGTTCATTTGATTTCAATTCTCACTTTTAAGCACCAATTTCGCATCACAATTAGTTAACTAAAGATCAACATGAATATAAGATCACAAAGAAAATCTCCTTCCATTCGAGATCAATTGTTTCGAATTGAATTTCAAACAAAAATAAACTTTTTTTAATCGCGAATTTTAATTAATAAAAAAGTTCTATTCAAACCTTAAACCCTAAAGAGATAATGAGTCGTGGAAGCAATTACTCTTTGATTGGAAATTAATCAAATTAATCTACGAAAATTTTATTCTCAACCCAATCAATTAAATGGAAATCAAATAATCCAATTTACCAATGATGATAAAAAACTAAAACAAAACAAAAATCTCAAGATGATGAGCAATAAAATCTACAAAAAAGACAAATCTCATTATCCAATTACACAATTATCAATTGTATTTGTGTAAAATCCCCAGCAATTAATCACCAAACAATTTAATTCGAGGATAATAATTGACACAGAAAAGAAAAAGTAACCAAATGAAAGTTTAGAATCTTTTGAACAACAAAACAAAACAAATCGGTTATTTATCATCTTCCAAAAAAAGAAGAATACTGATCATCAATAAAAGAATAATATAGTTAATCAAGGTTTAATTAAACGAAATTAATGAAAATCCTTGTTACAGAAAACAAAAGCAAATTAAATTGTTCAACTTTTACCGGTAAATATTTCAAAAGAAGAAAAAAGAATTTCCAGATGGAGCCACCGAAATCGCGGTTACTTTGCCTATTTGGTTGTTAATGTTTCTCCTATTGTAGGTTTCTTGTTGTACTGTGGATATAAATTAGATTTAAATTGTTAATTTAGTTTTTTATTTATAATTGAATTAAAATTTTAATTTTAACACCATCATGGCTTTAACCAATTCTGTGAAAGGAGATGAGGTAAGTTACAATTAAATTATATCAATTGGAATTACAATTATTTTATTCGATTCTTAAGTTTGACATTTTATTTGTATTCATGTTTCTCTCATTTTCTTTTCCCTCTCTGCCTTTCATTTTTATCTTTTTTCTCTATGTGTCTATGTCTGTCTCTTTTTCTACTTTTTTTTACATTCCTCTTACTCGGTCCTATCTCTTTCCCTCCCTATCTCTCTCTCTCTCTCTTTTTCGCTCTCCCTCTTTCTCTCTCTTATAGTTATTTTATTCTCTGTAGAATTTTTCTTCTCCCTTCTTTGCCTTTTCTTTACCTTTTTATGTCCATTATTTTTTTTTCCTTTGAGTTTTTTTTTCTTATGTTGAAATTTGTATTTTTATAATGTTGAATATTTTTTCTTCTTTTTTCTATCCAATTATTAGATTGAAAAGCAAGATAATGAGGTTTCTAATGAGAAACCTGTTGAAGTGGTAGAACCAATTCGAAGTCGAACAAGTCAAAGAAAAGCGGCCACTGCTGCTGTTAATGCAATGAAAGAACAAGCTTTAGGTGCAAAGAAGGCTGAAAATGAAGATGATGAAGGTAAGCCCAAGAGAGGTGGTCGAGGAAGACCGAAAGCAAATAATGAAAAGAGTAGCGCCAAAAATGAACGAAAAAGAGCTGCTTCAACCGATGGTGAAGATGAGGATCAACCTAAAAGTAAACGGGGTCGACCAAAACGTAAACCAGCAGCGGCAGCACCCAAAAAGAAAGCAGCAGCAGCCCCGGCAGCCCCATCAGGAAGAAGAGCTGGTAGACCAAGTAAAAAGGCAGCTAAAGAAGACGCGGTAAAAGAATCAGAGGAAGAAAACAAGGATGATGATAAAGCTCAAGATAAAGAGGATGAATCAAATTCTGGTGAAGAAAATGAATCTAAAACTGATTAACTTTTCATCTCTTCTCAAGCCATAACATCAGCCATTGAAATTTTCGTCTATCATCATCTTCGAAGCTTCTTTTTTTCTCTCTTTCAATCAATCTTTTTTTTTAACCCTCAACCTCTTCATTAGATTAATCACATTCACCTCATTTCTCATTTTCTTTTTGAAACCAGACTCTTCATACTTTTAACTTATATCCATGTCTCATCAGTCACATGAGAGCCAATTTCGAAACACTTATCCACATTATTATCCCTTATTCTCATGTCTCTTTTAAACTAATTATGCTGATAATCATCACCAAATTCTGCAGATTTTTCTCATTTCCTATTTAACCTTGAATAGTCCATTTTAAAGCCACAAGCCATTACACCAAAAGTAGACCAATTCCGAATCAAATTTAACCATAAATTTTTTCTTCTCCCTTTTCGCCTGTTAATCAACCTCGACATTTTTTTCTTGTAAATTATTATCAACCAGTTATAATTACAAAAATTAAAGGATCTGGTATCTTCTTACACTTTGACTTTTTTTGTCGAAACTTTAACCAAACCAATTAACGTTTTCTCTCGCAACCAATGCTAATCTAAAGACAATCAGCTTACAATTTCTGTCTAATTAGATTATCAATCGACTTGTTAATCGTTTTCTTATTGTAATTCCGAAAATGATTGTATTTCCATTCAAAGCTTCGATTTCTTAATTTGCTCGTAATCACACAGAAAAGTATCGAAATGTTGTATTGGAAAATTGTATGAGATCAGATCGAGAACATGAATGTCCATTTGCCAAATCAGCGATTCAAGTGACCAAATTGATTGTGGAGATTTTCAAGATTGGAGAATCTCCAAGTGATGAAGGAAAATTGTTCTATCCGATGTTTTTTAATGCCGATCATCCGATCGAGGAATTTTTCTGTATTTGTGTTCCATTGCTGAACAAAACATGGAAAGAAATGAAAGCGATAAGTTCTTCTGGAAATATTGGAACGATATTAACGAGATGCTGATCGGAGAATGGGCTTACATGAGACATGCGAAAAGTGGAAAAAGTCAACATTCGGTTTGGTGTTTTCGTTGATTTCAGACTCATTCCAAGGAGAAACTTTGAACTTGGTCGCTCCAAATGATAAATGAGAAAGTGTTTGATTATTGAACTGATGGAATCAATGGATTAATTGGAAATGAGATGGTTAACAAGCGATTTATACCATTTATCGATGTATCTTTTACATTAATTCACTAAATCACAACAATCACTGAACTTTTCATTCTCAATCAATTCCATTCACTTATCTTTACATATTCTGTTCCAGTTTACACCGATCAAATTTTACTCTAATCTTTACTTTTCTTTATATATAAAACTGATCAAATTTATATAATACAATTAAAAATAGAACAAAGAATCATTAATCAATTCTAATTGTCTCGATTTTCGGTAAGTAATCAAGTAAAGGTCCCGATTGTCAAATGGTTTCCAAGGAACAGTAAACAAAAGTGACGCCTCAGTTTGTTGTTTTCTTTAACTTAATTGTCCTTCATCACAATTTAATTGATAGAATTTAATTTCCACCATGGCTTTAACAGGTACTGTTCCAGGTAAAGGTAAATTGATCGCTGTTATCGGCGATGAGGTAAGTTGATTAATTAGAATTAATTTAGATTGAAAATTCTCTTTACTCATTATTTTGTTTTTCTTTTCCTTTTAATCTTCTCCTATCTTTTCATTTTCTCTTTCTCTTTTTCCTTTTCTGTTTTGGTGTTTGTCTTTTTTGACCTTTAGGATACTTGTGTTGGTTTTCTTCTTGGAGGAATCGGCGAGGTGAATCGGGCCAAAAATCCTAATCTAAATTTCATGGTGGTTGATCGTAATACGGTTACATCGGAAATTGAAGATACGTTTAGAGCTTTTCTCAAGCGAGGAGATATTGATATTATCTTAATCAATCAGAATGTCGCTGAAAGGGTTCGCCATGTGATCGATATTCATAAAGATCCAATTCCTGCTGTTCTTGAAATTCCCTCAAAGGATAATCCTTATGATCCAGCTAAAGATTCAATCATGAAAAGGGCCAAAGGTGTTCTTGGTGGTGATTAAATTGAAATCTCAACACTAGAACATGAAATTTTCAGTCAAACCAGAAAGTCATCTTTACCCTTTGTTATTCATGTTGTTTGTGTATCTATTATTATACAAGAGTGTGTGATTATCTAAATTAGTCTTTAATTATTACCTTTGATGGTGATTCTTTTGTTTACCAGAGTCATTTACCTACTCAAGAAAATGTTTCATTCCTGTTCATTGATTGTCTATTTACGAGTACAAAGCAAAAAATGAATTTCTCTCCATGGACTTGTGGCCGTCGACAAAATAATCAAGATTTGGGATTCAATTTCTCACTTTCTCCCTTTCTCCCTCTCTCTCTCTCTCATTCTTTGAGTTTTTATTACAATAATTACCCACGGTACATATATAAATTATTATAATTAAATTGTTCTATCAACTAGTGTTAAATCAATGCTAGAACGATATGAATATTTAAAGAGACCATAACGATTAACCTAATTTGTTTTTGTCCATTTTCAGTTATGATGATCGCGTGAAATTGGTGATAATTGTACAATTTGTGTCGGTAATTTAAATCTTATCCATTTTAGATACAAGAACGAGGTCAACAATCAATGAAATGGATCAAGAAGATATTTGGAGAGAGTTGATTATTTACTATTGGCGATTTGAATGAAAATTGGTTTGGACACAAAGGATTCGTAAAAAAAAGTGAAACGGTTTATTTAAAAATGGAAAAGTTAAATTACATTAATTGTAATCGTTGTTGGACCTTAATTGGCCTGACCAATCCAGGCTGGTGGTCCTCTTTTAACATCATCCAGTTGAAGATTTGTTAAATTTTTGGTCATCAAATCATTACCAACTTCAATCATATCGTGTGTCTCATATTGACAGTTCGGGTACTTGTCGACACATTTAGCGACATCGGGCTCGGTCATATGGGTTTGGAAAGCGGTTCTGTATTGAGCTGCTGCCCCGGAACTGGATTCGATTTCACTGTTGAACGTAAATTGGTGAAAATGGAGAAGATGATTAATCTCATGAAACGAATCGGAGAAAAAATCAAAGAAAATTTCTCAGAAGAATCAATTGTTTGAAAGGACGAAACTTACGTGAAAAATCCGGCAACTTGTTCACCGAAATTACCAAAAGCAGTTCGATTGTAGCCAATTTGGCAAATTAATCTCATCAAGCAATTGTTTTCATCGTTGTTCTTGATGAAATCAAAATACACATCTAAGATTTCCTCGGGCGATGAAGGTTCACTATGGGAAATTGGTCGAGAAAAAAAGACGAAAATTAGTAATTGTATTTGTTTTAGTTTACAGAGATCAAAGTTGTCACCAATACTTACCCATCTTCATCTGGTTGGGGTATTGGTGATGGAACGACCTGAAGTGGTTGTCTTAACTGTGGCTGTTGAGCGGGTTGTGGTACCAATTGTGGCTTTACTTGGACATTTGGTCTCACAACACCAACAGGAATAGTTTGTGGCTTAACTTTTGGAGCTGATTGTTGTTGAGGTTGAGGTTGTTTCTGTGGTGGTAATGATGATGATGATGTGGTTATTGGCGCTGGTTGGAGGACAGGGCGAGATTGTCGGACAACTGGAGCAGTTGGAATGGTAACAGCGGCAGTTGCCACTGCGATTGTGATGGCGAATAAACAAAATGAGGTATAACTACAACTTCGAGAAGACATTTTCGTATTTAAGGTAATGGTGGTTTCGATGAGAAAGTCAAAAGAAAAAAAAGAGCAAAAAAATCAAACAATTTCAACAAAGAGGATCCAAGAAGATGAATAGAACTCGGAAGTGGAAATAAGTAAATTTAACGATACAATTTCAATATAAGCTCGAGGCTTCCTCAGATTAAGACGACGAAAAGACAACAAGAACGTATTTTTGGTAAACAGAAAAGTTCAACAAAAGGAAGAGACCAAACCAACTCGGAAGAAGGTTAAAGATTAACTAAAGACTCGTCCAAGTTTGATGATGGATTAAAAAGAATCGTTTCTATCATCCTCATCCAAGAATAATCTCTCTCACTCTCACTCTCCTCCCCTAAAGGGATTTATCATTTTTAGAGTGAATTAGCTTATCAAATGAAGAAAAAGATGAAAAAAAGGAAGAGAAAGATGAATGTGATTTGTTACGTTCCACCCTCGTGTTTATTTACCTTTTACTTTCATCATCATCAATCGTTTATTATTAAATCAACTCTTTATCTCCATCCTCATCACCACAAACAATCATCATCAACATCATCATTTTCACACTTAATTGTGATTCTTTCCCTTTATTTACCATCCACAGTTGATTTAAGAGTTTTCCTTACAATCGAATCTCAATAATAATTTATTGATTACTTGGAATTACAAAATTACCATCAAGATGATTAGCACCAATCAGTTGTCTTTAAGTTAAAATTTGCAGAAATTAAGAAAAAAAAAGTTTTCTTATATTTGTTTTAACTATTTAAAGTTAATTCTCGCCCTGAGGAAATACAGTCACAACCATTAAGGTTCAGGATACAGACGAAATCACTTTCTCTTCTTCCTCCCTTCCATCATCATCATCATCATATCTCATCCTCTTACCTTTTCTTACAGGTATCAACAAAATCTTCATCTCTTATCCATTTCATGAAACATTTGAAAGATGAAAAAAAAACAAGATCATATTGACCTACATTCAAATCGGAATCACATACAAATGACCAGAAAAACAATTTTCATCTATATATTTTTACTCAGTTATCATTATTGTCTCACTAATTGTTACCTGGATTATGATTGAGAGTCAATTGTTATCATTAACACCGTTAAACTATTATAATCAATGGATTGATTGGTTTGAATAATATTTTCATGATTTAAGTTGAAGGATTAATCCGGTTGATTGAAATTCACCATGTCAATTGTTATTCAAAGTTGAGAACACCAACTTTATATTGTAATTTTCTGGTTGTTCATTATAACAATTATCTAGACAATCAACTTTAATCTGATCAACCAAATTACTTGAATGGGTAAAGTTAATCCTTAATCACCAAGGGAATCAACCAGAAATATCTAAGCTTAAATACTTGAGCCATGTTATGATGTTTGATTGTTGAATAAGCCGGAAGCTTTTGATTTGTTTACATTTTATTTAAAGTTTTTGATTATGCAAAAATTAGTTAATCATCAACTTGAATGATAATGGTTAATATGGTTAATCAAGTGGATCAATTAAGATTTCAACCTAATCCCAATTAAATGTATTGACCATCTTAACCTGAAGAGTTACTTTTTTTTATCATTCTGACCACTTTCAATTACCGGATTGATTAATCTTAACAATTTATTTTTAATTTTCACCATTTACAAGAGTTAAATGATTAATCATTTGGCTTGGTTTTTATTTACAACAATCAAGAGTGACACTTATATTTAACTGCAACAATTAGAGATAATCAATTAACTTGGAATTAGTTTATTCCCATTTGATGACCATTCCTTAAATAAACAATTGTCCGATCAGTGAACCTTCAATTAATTACTTTCCATGTCAATTGATGATTTAAATTGTTAATTTCATTTGATTTCCTCAATGGATCACACTTAATTATCATCAAACTCATCAAAATTAATCAACAACAATTTTCATTCAAATCAATCAATTTAATCTGACAAATTACCTTGAAATTATCAGCAATCAAAAAATCATAATTAACTTTCTGTATACTTTATTTTCAGTACAATTAAAAACCTAATTAAGTGTAAAAATTAACAGTTAATTGATGAAGTATATTTAATTTTATCTGCTTAATGATTAATCAACTGTAAAGAATTGAGATAATTTAAAAGTTAATCATTTCTCCTTTTTTTTGCTGGTTAATTATTACACTTCCTGATTAACTAATTGTTCATTGTTGGTCTAATTTCCCTTGAGATTAGCAATGTCTTAAATTGCAATGTCAACTTTCAATCATTACAATTAAAATCTATCCAGTTATTAATCATGATGATGATGGTGGTAATTAAGTGGATAAAGGTGAAATAATTAACTTAATCATGATCACAATCAAATTATAATCTTAAGGATATGCTTAAGGTTACATCTAACTGATAGTGTTAACTAAATTGTTACAAGAAAATGATGAAATCAACTTAATTGTTGATGTATCACAATGAATTGATTAAGGAGATGATTTATTTTGAAATTAAATTTCATCATTTTAGTTAATTAATTGAAGACACTAAAATTTACTAATGATATCTACCACGGTAGTATCACAATTAACGACACAATTTAATCAATGGTAGTTAAATTAAAATATAAATCGTTGATAAATCTGGAAAATTTCACATCCGATTGGTGATTGATTTAAATAATTAAAATCATTAACCTCAGAACAATCAAATTAACAATTAAATCAGATCACTTACCTTGACGATTTCCAATAATCAACAATCAAATATTTTATTATCAATACATAACAATCAAAATCTTTATTTCATAATAATTAAACTCTCCATTGAAAAGGAAAGAAACAATTTAATCAAATTAGCACACAAATTTATCTTTAATTAACTAATAACATGGTAACTATGTTTAATTTGTTGATTGACCGTTAATCAATCGAGGTGAAAGTTAATTGTAATTAACGAACTACACTGCAAAGATCCTTAATACTTTCAAATAGCGATCCAAGTTCATCAATTGTGCTAATTGCTGCCATTGCGTTGCCTGTTGATTAAAAGGAAAAATGAATTGGAATTTAAATTTACAACAATCAACCAACAATTAGATTTAATTACTCACTTTGGGTGACAATATGACGAAGCTCCTTGTTTTCTTGTTTAATCTCCTTTAATTGTTTGTCTCGAGATTTCAATTGATTGTGAAGTTTAACAATCTCTGATTTAAGTCTCATAATTAAGGTAATCTGATCATGATAAGATTCAATTGATTTCTCCTTCCAGAAATCAATCTCATCTGAAATTGATTTAATTGATAAATCAAACCAAAAGGGTTGACAATTAAACAAATTGTTCTGTGATGATATTGATGATGAATTGGTACGATTAAAAGATGGATAATAAAATAGTAAACTTGATTCTCTTGGTGAGAAATCAGTTAATTGTGAAGTTAATTTCTTTGGTAGTAATGGTCGCAATCGACATTCACTTAAATCATCGTTGATAAAGTTTAATGAACGAAAGAAATTAATTGATTGATTTGATGGACAATTAACACACATTAAATGATAACTTCCAACAAATGATGAGCTTTTAATTTTCTGTAATTAACATGAAACAATAAAAAAACAAAGAATTAATTTTCCAAATGATTAACTAATTGTTCGTAATCACCTTGACAAGATATGTTCCTATTTTTGAAGATCGATACGAGTCTCGAACAATTAACCAATCAATGAAAATAATTGGCATCGATGGAAGTCTAAACAATTAAGAGGAAATAGTTGGTTAATTAATCAAAGTCAACTGACGGACAATTAATTGTGATTAATTGTAGTTCAATATTAATATTTGTCTTTTCAACGTTCCATGTTAATTGTTTCATCGAGTTAACAATTAAGCTTAATGACAATTGACTCAAGCTTTTTTTTCAACTGAAAACCTGAAAATCGTTCAGTTGATTGTTAATTAACATAGAAAATTGTATTCTAAATTTAATTGATCAGTACAAATGCTTATAATCAGTTGATTACAGATCTATTTATGAACTGGTTCGTTAATTGTGACAATTTAAACTCACCTGTAATCTTTATGAAATGAGATTGATCCAATGATCCGATGTTCAATTGAAACATGATCTAAATTTAATTTCTCAGGTGATTTACTAATTAAGTTTAATCGTTCCTCTCGCCGTTCGTTAATTGTATCCAGAAATTTTGATCCACTTCTCAACAATTGAGTTAATTTTTGATTATTCTTACCATCCCAATCAATATCTTCACTGTTAATCAAACAAACAGAAATTAATTAGTTACGATCTGATTAAAATAATATGTTGATTAGCAAATCGATTTGAAGAAGTATTATTTTTCTAGATCAATTTAATTGTTGATACAATAACAATTAACCGTAGTCACGTTCAATATTAATATCATCACCATGTTAACTAACTAATAACAATTAATATTATCATTGGTAACGAAAATCATTAACCCCTTAAGGTTAATTGTCAGCAAACAATTAAGAGTAAAAAACTAACATCAACCCAATAAGTTGAACAGAAAAATAAACTAATCAAACAAAAGACCATGAAATGATTAACTAATATATTAAATTGCTCTTGACTTGTAATTAATTTCAGTCGATCAACTAATCCAATTGTCTTGGTAATAATAATAGGATAACCATTGGAGTTTGTGATTGTCAGATAACCTCGAGTTCAAATGATGAAAATAAATGATTTCAAATCTGTTGATTCTGTTGGTGAACATCATGTTAATCATGATGATTAACTTACTTTGCTGATTTCGTTTCATCATCATCATTGAAACAACGTTTAATTTTAGCTTCCAAATCTCTGTAGTTAAGTGTTTCACTCCAATGGGGATTATTTGATTTCTTTAATCCTATTTCAGGTTCTTTGGAACTTTTTTTCACCATGATAAACAAGATGATGAAGTTTCCATGGTCATGATAATGAATAGTTCAATGGGTACACAGGTAGATGAAAAGTGAATGATGTTTACCATGAAAGTTTCAGGGGAATAATTTAAAAGCAATTTATCAATTGTTATGATGTAAATGCATTGGCTTAGTGATACTTACATACTATTCATTTGGTTGGTTGATAATTTATTATCATGATGATGAATATGATTTCCATCATCTTCATGGGTGAAATTATCTTTCGTTTGAGTTTCCGTTTCATAGAGAGATGAAATTTTATCACATTCGAGGTCATCAAGGTCAGAAATGATTCCCGATGAAAAAGTTTTCGAGCAGCTACTGATTGTTGACATTTCTTCAAACGATGGAGATGAATCTTTACATGGGAAACCAGAACTTACAGAGGAATATGTAAATTCATCAGGAGATGATAACAATTTACTTGCGCAACAGTAATCAACTGAATCTTTAGATTGAAAAAGAGCAGAAAATTTTACAAATTTTCAATTGAAAATTATTCACCACAAGGTTAATCAATTTATTCAGTCTCATGAACACACCAAACATAATCATCATTAATTACAACACTATTTTGGATTCTCATGTAACTCAGAGTATATGAACAGATTCCTAATTCATATTATCATTATCATGAAATCATATCTGCTCATCAGCTGTGATGACCATGACCCAGATAATATTTCATTGTTTGTATTACAAAAATTCTGGTTCAGTTACAATATTTTCATGGTAATAAATGATTATTATGGAAAAAGATAACAATTGAATACAATTTGATTAACTCATCCTGGAATATGTTTAATCAAATCAATCTGATTCGGTTTTCTATTGATTGAAATTGTTACCAAAGTAAAGGTAAAATTTATTACTAGAGTTTGGAGTTTACAATGGAAACGCTTCAAAGAAACAATCAAGATAATTCAATCAGATTTTATCGATTTCGAAAAGCGGAATTGTGAACTCGAAAAGTTTTTTATCGATTCTGTAACCTTTGGCCCTTTAGCCATTGTTTGAAATCTTGCCGTTGGTGTCTGAATATAAGCTGAATATTTGAATGAACATGTAAGTTCATGAATAAGGTGAAGTTAAATCAAAATACTTTTTCATATTCTATTCAGATGGAAATGGAAATTTTTAAGAAAAACAAAGTTCCGAGAGATTACTAAGTATAAATATCTATTAATTTATCATGAAGATTGTATATAGTACGAAATTTGTAGATTTCATGGTAAAAATATTCCAAATATAGATGATTCAAGTTCTATCTCCTATGAGAGAGTGAAACATGAACCAGATTTTCAGTATAGTGACTAACAACTAAAAGAAGAGCTTTTCACTTGATCAAACACGAAGATTCAGGTTTTTATCCATGAGATTGTTTCATGGTAATAACATTGAATTCAGCAAGAATAAAATAGAATCTTGTATAATACTAAACATAGACGAATCTCTTTTCAAGAGAGATAAAAGTTCACCAGCTTATGGAAGGTAAAATCATCTAAAGATCACAAATTCTCATAAAGATAATAATTCTCTAACCAATTAGTTGAAGGTAATTTCTTAAACAAAAAACTCTTAAAATTGTTCATAAGTTTTACCATTTGGATGAATGTGACTACAAATGGAAAATGAAGACTAGACTTTTACCGATCGATACGATGAATTTTACCAATACAAATTAATCGGTAAAATCTATCATGATGATTAGATTGGTGGTGTTAATGGTGATGAAGATTATTACCTTTCTTTGGAAATGAATCTTCTGGTGAAAGTTGAACATTCTCCCTGGATTCCCTTGAATCTTTCCTCCATTCAGTAAGAATCTCTAGAAGAAACAAAAACACAATATGTAACCATAGAAGAGAAATAAATTATCACAATAAGGTGATGATGATGATAATTTCCAAGATAATCATAATCATAATCATCAACAGGGAATTAAATTATCATGATAAAGATGCTGATATAAGTATACTGATACTAGAACCTTATCATTATTATTCATTATTGCTCTCATCATGTTTACTATTATTTTCCCTAACCGTTAACAATGAATAACAATTGAGTTTTTTTTTGAATTCATTGTTGATGTAATTAGATTTTGTTACCATGATAATGGTGATTAAATATTAATCGCTGATTAACTTACCTTCACCATGGCGGAGAAGAAGTAAAGTTTTGACACCTTCTTTACATAGAGTTTCGTATATGACATTCAGGGGGGTATTCGGAAGATTCTTGTAGTATAAACTAGCGACAGTGTGTAGTAATTCAATTCCAGCATCGTCTCCCTGTAAATGAATAACAAGAAGAAAGTAAAGTTAATAATTTAGTTTGTTGGAAGATTTTTCTTGCCTCGAAAAATATTCAATTTGTTTTTGCTGAACTCGTTGGAATTGTCATGATGAAATCAACATCATTCTTGTTATCATTTACTCAGGTTGAACATTTTGTTCAAAGATTCAGGCTAAATGCTTATTACTATTTTTATTCACACAATTGAAACTGCGCAGGTAAATTCAGTTCCCATAATTTCATGTTCATGATAAATTGTGTGTATCATGAACATTATGTATCTTTTGAGTTTATATGCTTTGTCCACTTTTCTGCTTTTATTATATCATAAGGTTAGAATGATTAATAATATTTTCATTAGAAATATGAACTAATCAATCTTAGAATCATTTCATCAACGAAAGTAATTTGATGAGCTGATTGGATTATTCGTAACTTCCCGCCAACGATTTCGATAGTTGATTTGGTTCGAGATCGTCGAGTTGATAATAACAAGTTAATTCAATTCGATGTCAACTTTATGTGTTGAATTGTCCAAGAATTGGTCCATTTTATTGTACAGAATGACCTTAATTATTGAGATTCGTTGTTAGGTAATTAAATCTTGTTAACTAACACTCGATAATAACCTTCACCTATCAAAACTTTCTAGAACTTTGATAATATCGATTTTTGTTTAATGATAATCTTTTCATCCGATAAATTTATCAATAATAATGATAACAACATTAACGAAATAGTAAATTATTGAATTTAAATTCTAAATATTATAGATAAATTTTCAGTAATAGAAATTGAAATTGATTCTTCTTGATAAACATGTATTAATATTAATATATTATCTGAGAATGGAAACATTTCTTGAATTGTAAAAATCAACAAAAGAAAAATATTATTTTTCCATCTGGAAAAGAATATCTAATAATAAAACTCATGGTGATAACTGATACTTGATCAGAATTCGGGCAGAACTTTATGAACCATGAGATGTATTCATGAGATAACAAAAAGTTTTCATGAAGAATATCATTGAATGATAACACTTTCAATCACTTGGACTATTGATGGAAACTGATGATATTTACTTGTCATTCAGTTCTTTCAATCTGATGACCATCATGGTGACCATTCAGTTTCATGCAATTGTAATAAATCTGAAACTTTTTCGCCAATTATTAGATGAATAAATGACCGAATCAATTTATTAATAATAACTGATGAAACAGAGAAATCAAAGTATTGAAATATTGTCCACAATTACTGAATAAAATATCAAAAATTAGCCTCGAAATGATCATGATCACTTCGAGATAATATAAAGTTCTGAATATTCTGGTTAATTTCTTATATTATCGTGTCGAGTTGAACATTGATAACAACATGATAATATCGAAATCAATTTTTTTGGAATAAACTTTTTCTTAACCTACATTTAATTCAGACGAAAATATGATTTATATTATTAATATTTGCTTTTTGATTCTCGTTCATGTAACATGATATTATTTCATGTTTTCCTTTTCAAATTGACATGGAAATAAAGTTATATTTATTATATTTGATGTAATACATTTTGATTTGCTGTAGTTAGTCAATAAATCACCGGCGATAAATATTATCAAAATCAATCAATTGACGTAATTTAATTGCTTCTGAGGAAAAAAAAAGTTGACAACTTTGTAAACTTGATCAACTTTTAGACTTTTCCATAGTGATGAATTATTAATAATTACTAGTTAACATGTCTTTTTTTTATTACAATAATTCCCATGCAATTTCATCATTAATATGTGTTTATTCAAGATTGAAGTTTCTCAACATAAAATCATAATAATTTGTTAACTAGATCATTATTCAGATTATGATTTGATTAATAATCACAAGTCAACTGGCAGCTTTTTAATTATATTGTTTCTTTTATGATTCTGTATATTATGTTAGTGCTTGCTAATTGTGAACATATAAGGTGTTAATTGTTGCAAGTTTCGTGCTCAAAAGGTTCGAGACTATCACCTTGTAAAATAGGTGTGGTTCTGATTCATGGGAAAACATGATGAATTCATTGAACGTATTTGGCATTTATCGTATTTGTATATTGAGCATTGAATTCTATGGGAGTTCCCGATAGGAACAAAATTAACTTTGATGATCGGAATGATTGTTTTCTTCCAAGATTCTAGTAAATCGAAAAAAATTCAGAATCATCTAAATCATTCTTGGAATACTCAAAATTCTGACTCTCTCTCTCTCTCTCTCTCTCTCTCTCTCATCAAGATATTATATTCTGATTAATAACACAACAATAAGTATCAAATTTAATTTAATTCAATTGTGCTCTTGAAGGTTTATCATGATAGTTTATACCTCCCACTGAGTAATATTTTTATCCATAATTTGATTAATATTCCAGTTCTTAACATTTTCATCAAAATCCAACCTTAAGTTCAAAGTAATTCATTCAGAGAGTGTGAGGTGAGAAATTTATTTCAATTCAAAATGGAAGAACCAAAATAAACTAAGAAGCGATATCTTTAAAAGATATAGACACAAGAGTTCAGGAGATTAATCTGCTCACTACAGAAACCAAGATTCTTTCAGGATCTTCTTTTTCGGAGATTAATTACTCTATTAATAAGTAATTAGAGATCACTAAGTGATGAGAATTGTGAATAGTTGAAATGTGAGGAACACGGAAATAGTTAAACTATTAGGTTTTATTGAAATTGAACAAAATTGAAAATGAGAACACAAGGTAACAAGAAGAGCACTAATGTGATTACTTTGAAAGTAGAATTAGAACTGAAGAGTTACAATGGTAAACATTAAGATTTCTTAGAAATAAAAAACGGGGGAAAACTTAAAGTGAGATTAAACTTGATTAATCAAATTGGGGGAATAACATAATAGTGTTAATACTAATCCAAAAGAGATGATGAGTTTGTCATCTTTACCATTTATGGTTAACAATATTGTTAAGGGTTGAAGATAACACTAAGTGTTCACCATTGTTAATCTCTTAGGCTTGAAAAGCGTTAACAATAAAGAAAGAGGAGAAAGAGGAAAATAGACAGAGAAAATGATTCTCTTCCTTATTGACCAAGATTTTGGTAACTTAAAAGAGACATCTTTAGATGTAAAATGACAATTGAATCAGTTAATTGTTCTGGTTAGAACTTAGAAATCATTCAATGATCAATTACATATCTAAGATATAATAAAGGAAAGGTTTACAAAGTTCAGGTAAATGAAAATTAAAGATAAATTGAAAACAAGAATAAGCATAATTAAGCTGAATGAGCTTTAGAAAAGTTAATGAATTGAAAATAAGAAAAATGGAGGGAAACAAATCACTGAGTGATTCAAATATGAGGGTTAATTGGGTTTCCGATTTTTCTACCCTTCAGTCTCCACGGTTAAAATGGAGTACCCTCATTAAGACGGCATTTTGAATCCTTCCTGGTGGACTTTGTTGAACGACATTATTCTGTCCTACGGGGTAAAATAAATCTCTACGAATTTGAGATGATGGGATTTCGGAATTAGCATCAGAGGGACGGGATGAATCTCTAGATTCAAATGATTGCCTGGATTCCTGGGTTGATAGTAATTCTTGGGTTGAATTAAATGGTTCAGATGAATTATTGGGATTAGATGGTGGGTTAGAAGTTGTAGATAGAAGTTCATCTTGGAATAAGTTCATCTCTGAGAGATTTTCGTCCGATCGGGTGTTCAGAGTGAAGTTTGATGATCTTTGGGAAGATGATTGTTCAGGAATTAGAGGATCAGGTAAATTTGGATCAGGATTACCATCGATAATGAAACGAACAGTTGATGGTAGGGAATTAGTAGACATCGATAAAATGGATGAATCATTAGTAGATGATTCTTTGATTGAATTAGGGTTTTGATTTGGTGAGCTGATGGTTCCTTTTGAAGAGGAATGAGTATTTTTGGTTGATGATGGTGATGGTGATGGTGATGTGGTTGATGATGAGGATGGAGAGACACATGAAAATTGATCATAACTTGGAATTGTCTCATGATGATGAAAATATGACCAGTTTGGTGGCCAATTAGCCTTTTTAGAGGCGACAAGATTAGAGTAAATTTGATGAAGATGAGAAACTTTTGAGTTTCTAAGATAATATTTCAGAGCTTGATTGTGTATTCCTTGACCAGTTTCAGCGACTTTCGATTCAATTTCTTGCCAGAATCCCATGTATAATCGCATGGCTGTCAGAGCTTCAACGGCGGGAGAATGTGGTCTGGATGAAATAGTGTAACCAGAAAAAATCAAGAATGAAATCAGGGAGAGAGAGGCAGGAGATGATCTGTATGGTGTGAAATAGATAGTTACATCTCGTAACTTTGGTCTTAAAATATCAATTTCGACTGAGGCAAATTGAAGTGATTGAAACAATGTCAAAAGACCAGCACCAACGATACACTTGGCTGAGGCCAAATAAGTGATCACTTGATCTCTAACAGATCCAAGATTTTTACCAAATTTAATATCTTCGATACGAAGCCCGTGATATTTGGTGTCCATGTAATCGACTGAAACATAATGGATAAGAGTTTCATATACGATTTCACAATTTCCATCGATAATCACAATCCATACTGGATGTGGGGCGAAAACGATTTCACCGGATGAATTAGATCTTCGATTTCTAACATAAGCGGCATGTATTGAGTAGACATTTAATTTATCAGGATTATCTTCCATATTATCCTTAATCAATTGTTGATGTTTGAATTTAAGATCTTCGATCTCAAAATATGTAATATGGTTGAATATATTGGTGGCTTTATTTCGTCTATTAGCTCTTTGAATGAGCTTTTGGGGGTCGGTGGTTGTTGGAGTAACTTCGGTTTCAGAGAAATTTCTCAATGAAATTGGAAACCAATTGTTAATTGATTGTCGAACATTTTCTTGTTCTTCATCACTTAGACGTGAGAGAGGATTAATTTTAATAAATGGATTGATTCGACC